TTTTCCTTTCTTCCTTTTCTGTGTGTGTGTGTGTGTGCGCGCACGCGTGCGCGCGCACACGAGCACACCTATTTATCACAGGTGTATGCAATATATTTGTGCAAACCCATGTGGAATCTGGAGGTGGATGTTTAGTGTCCCTCCCCTGACCCCTTTCTCATTCTCTATTTTTTGACGTAGGGTCTTTCACTGAGCCTTGGGCTCACAGTTTTTGCTAGGCTGGCTGGCTAGCATGTTCCCGGGATCTGCCAGTCCCCTCCAGTGCTGAGGTTACAAGTGTGCCTGTTTTGCCATCTGTTAGTGGGTTTTGGCAATACTAACTCAGGTCTTCACGATTGCAAAGAAGTCACTTTACCCACAGAGCCATCTCCCCAACTCCGCATTTTCCTGTTTTTATTTGATTTGGTTTGGTCCCTCCCCCAACCCCTAAGATAGGGTTTCTCTGTGTAGTTCTGGCTGTCCTGGAACTCATTCTGTAGATCAGCTGGCTTTGAATTTATGGAGATCTGCCAACTTCTGCCTCCCAAGTGCTGGGATTAAAGGCGAGCACCACTACTGCCCGACTTCCTGCTTTTAATGTAGAGTTTAGACACTGATGGTCTGAGTTTCTAAATTGCCAACTTGCCAAGTAATTTTTGAATAAGAATTAATCTTTGGAATATGTTAAAAAAATAAAAACACGAGATGTTACCCAGTAGGTGATGTATTTAAAGATCAAAGAGTAATCCCTGGGCATTTAATAAGGCCTATAGCCTTTATGATAGTCACTGGCTATATCAGCTGGACTTAAAAGAGCTAGCTGTTCCAAACCTGGATAGATTTTTTAAAAGTCTAATTTAGATCAGGACTCTGTTGGCCATTCTGGCCTTTTATACAAGCTGGCTTGGGCTGGTTGGTATTAGATGGCCATACTTAGATGTTCGGTGCATTGCTATAGAAAAGAAAGGGTGAGTACAGCCAGCAATTGATCATCCAATCAAACTGCAATGCTCTTGGACACAAGTGTTCTCAGCAAGTGTTTTCTGCGTGCGCACCACTTAGCTGTGTCAAGTTCTAGTTTCTACCCTTGTTTCTTGGAGACGTGATTCTTCGTTAGTCATGGCTGGATTCTGAGTGAACAGTAGAAAATAATAAATTAAATGAGTTGAATAAATGTGTAGCCACAGCTCCGTCTTTACCCAGTAAGCCTTTGATAGGCACCTATGTGTTCTGTCTACTTCTTGAAGACCTTTTGTTGAGAGTGATGGCCCTAGGTAAGACATGTAACATTAGATTAATATTGAAGCATTATGGCGCATTGAACAATCTGTCTTAAGTTTCTAAACTTTGGAAGTAATGTGAAAGACTGGAAGTGAATTTTAAATTATCAGTAAGGTTTGGTGTGATCTTTTAGTTTCACATACGTTTATTTATTTTATTTTATTTTGTTTGTTTGTTTTTGAGACAGGGTTTCTCTGTATTATTTTGGAGCCTGTCCTGAAACTCGCTCTGTAGACCAGGCTAGACTCACACTCACAGAGATCTGCCTGCCTCTGCCTCCCAAGTGCTGGGACTAAAGGCGTGTGCCAACAATGCCCAGCTTCACAAACTTTTATGAAGTAAATTTGTATATAGTAACTACTGGGAAGGTAGGAAATTTACTTATTCTTCCAGCCTGCCCTGTAGGATTTGTATAGAGAATGTAGTGTTTTTCTAAATCAGGGAAGGAGTTTCTAGTCTTTGTCCTTTTTTCTTTTCCTATTTTTAACTTCAAGGTACTTGCAGAAAATGCTAAGATACACAGTTACAAAAGGAAGCGCTTGCCTGTGCTTGTTTTCTGCTTTTATCTTCTCTCTCGGGTTGCTGGCTCACTTATTTTTGGACCTACTAAAATAAATAATGATTAATCATGGCCACTTGTCCCTTAAGTTTTGAGGAAGTCATAGTTAAGACTTTATAAAGAATCGAGATGCTGTGACACAGCAAGTTTTGTGTTTGATGTGATGGGAAGTTAAAATCCTCATCTGGGTCACAAGAGAACTGAATTCTAGCTGTGACCTCATTAATGAGTTACTGGTGACCTCGGAGAAAACTTCCTTTTAGCTTAGACACCTGACCTTGAGCATTTTTGTGCCGTTTCTGTTAAAGTGTGTGCCTTTCTGGAATTCAGGGAAAGCACGGCATACATACAAAATTGTTTTGAAGGAAGGGAATGTATAATGCTGTTTCTTAGGCTATTTAATGCCACTCAGATACTGACTGCAAGGTTAGTCACCCCAGTGAACAGTCAGGTTTGAAGCAGGTGTTTGTCAAGTGGGGAAGGGGTTGGGCGGGACTCAGCAGGAAAGAAACTTATAATGTCAGAACAGCGAGAAATGAGTATTCATGTAGAGTAAGTGCAAGGGTCAGGGTGCAGGATGCTGGATTAGGCACCCCAGGGTGTTGATATCTCGGTGTGCTTAAAGTCTACCCCAGGAAGGGGGAACACACCTCTGAGAAGCTCCCAGTTTTCCCGCTGGGTGAAGGAATTTTATTTTCTCTAGAGTTCATTTTGTAGGAAAATTCTGTAGTAAACACTACTTTGCTCTTCTGAGAGAAGTCTCTGTCTCCTCACACTGTGGCCTCTCCTGGTGAAGGGAGAAACCTCAGGCCACCTTTCATAGACTCTAGGAAGGCTTCATTGGAATTATTATACATGCTGTGTACAAAAAATATAACACACACATGCAGAGTTTCTTAGGAGACCTTGTCTGTGGGTTGTAGTCTACATTTGGATCAGTGGGAACATCCCTTGGTGAGGGGTGTGACCCATGTGTATCATCTCCATCCTTGGGCCATTAGCCCCAGGGAACAGTTGACTGCAGGACAGGAGTTTAAAGTAAGAGGGGTTGGGAGTAAATTGAATAGACCTTTCAACTCACTGCATTTAACTGGAATGTCTGTTCCCTGAGTTACATTGGGAGGGGTGGGTGGGGCAAGGGAGTGGGGGGTTGGGAGTGTTTAACTGGAAGCCCGGAGGATGTTCGAGTAATTGTAAACCTAAGCCTGTGAAGGGGTGTCCTGTACTGGGTTCCAGATTGAATTGGCAATACAGATAGTTAAATCCCTCCTTAGCGGTTTATTGTAGAAGTATAAAGGGAAATTTTGTTGGGTGCGCTTGGTGAATGACTGAGTTGGTGCCAGACAGAAGTTCGTCCTGTGAGCATGCCATCTTACTAGTGGTGGTGACTGTTTGATGGGAGCATTAGGACAATTAGGTGGGACAAATAAAAATGGTCTCCTGACCTTTTTGAACTGTTTTAAACCTATAGTTTGGGGGCATCCATGGTGGTAAACTTTTCATGGAAACAGGACTAACAAGGTCTATGACACTGAAAGGGAAACTCAGTGCTACACTGGACAATGCTGTCATGTTGTTACAGACCTGGAAGAATCTTCCTTGAGCCCCTTCTGTCTGTAGCCATAGTTTGGAGAAAAGCCCAGTGTCTAGCTATAACATAGGTATGTCAAAAGGACAGTACTGCAAGTCATTGCATCCAGTGACAGTTAGCCCAGTAGGTATAAGAGCAAAGAGCATCGAGTTACTAAAAATACACATCTTGTATTTACAAACTTAGAGAGACATTTTGAGTAGTTTTTAATTGCTTCTGTGAAAGTAGTTAGGGCTCTAGGAGAAAATTGTTAAGGAAAGCCGGTTTTCTGTTTAAGGTGACTTTTTGTTAGTTGTTTGAGAATTTCCTACAATGTTTTTTGATCACACTCCTTTCCAAGCCCTCTCAGATCTACCCTTATCCTCCTACTCCCAGCTTCATGTCCTCATTCTAAAAGTACCCCACCGCATCCAGTCTGTGCTGTCCATTGGTGTTTGGGTATGGGGCCGCCGCTGGAACATGGTCTATTCATGAAGGGTTGCCCACTTAAAAAACTCACTTTGCCTCCCCCAGAAGCCATGAGCTACCAATAGCTCTGTGGGTGGAAAGTGCTAGGGGCTCATGGGCCCTTCCTTGTTCCGTCCTGGAGTGTCAACAGTCTTGGTTGTGTGTGGACAATCATAGCTGTAGAGCTAGTTCCTGAATTACTTGAACTGCTCCAGCATCCACCCGGCTGAGTAGACTTTACCTGGTTCTCAGGTGTAGTGCTTACTCCATTTTGAAGCACCTGTTCCTGCTGATGGCACTTGTACAGGGGGCTTTAGCACAGTGGTTCTCAATCTGTGGATTGACGGTCAAATGACCCTTTCACGGGAATCACTTAAGAACATTGGAAGACCCATTTATATTATGGTTCATAACAGAAGCAAAATTTACAGTTGTGAAGTAGCAGTGAAAATAATATGATTGGGGTCAGCACAACATGAGGAACTGTGTTAAAGGGTCACAGCATTAGGAAGGTCGAGAACCACTGCTTTAGTGGTTGGTGAAATCCACCTTGAAGCACACAAATGTCTTAACAGTTTTCTAAATCTAGCTTATACCATGTTCAGGAGTCATTCAGATTAAAGTTCTCGAGTGAGGTAGATGCTTTTTATCCCAGTTTGATAATCAAAGAAATGAGGAATGCAAGATTTCTTTCTCTTTTATTATAAGCCAAGCAGCTTTTGTTTGAACAATGTTACCTGAAAGATTATATGACTTGTTTAGATAATAATTCTCATTTGAAGATAAATGATTAAAAGATAGTAAGTTATAGTAATGTTTTCTAATGGTTTCTTTTTAGTACAGTTATAGAAGAGAATAGGCCATTTCCTAACTTCTGGAGCAGGTAATAGAGATATAGGTAAAGATGAAATTCTGGGTAACTTCATCTGTCTTTAAAAATCTATCCTGGCAGAATGTCTTAGGACCAGAAAATGCAGTAGATTCGAACCTTTCCCTTTTCATAATAGTTCTGGCTATTGCCCAGTGTTTCCAAGAAGAAAGCAAGACAGTGCGACGAATTCCCATGGTTTATAAATAAAATAACCAGGCATGGTGTAAGTGATGAGGTATTGTTAGGATCAATAAACTTGTACCGTTTTGCAGGCCTCATCACAACCACGTCGAGGAAGCTGGACCGGGAGCAGCAGGATGAGCACATACTAGAAGTGAGTCTTCCTTTGTAAATACTTCCAAGGTGTTCACATCCTAAACACCCCAGAACACTCGCACTTCTGTCCTTCATAGCTGCTAATATTTTGTAGTGAATACCACCCCCCACACACACACCTCAACCCATCCTCAGAGATGACCTCTGTCATAGCTGCCTTTCTGAATTTTGTACTTAGCCCTCACACACACTTAGAAATGCATTGGTAACCAGTGTCATTTGAATCTCCCTTTTGCTTACAGAAGTAATATTTTTCTCTGTACCTTCCACAGATTTCTTTTTCCTCAGTTATGCCTCTAAGATATGTTTTTATGTAGAGATCAAATTAAACCGTTTAAACTGTGTTCTGTTTATTTCCAGACGGGCTTACCCCGAAATCATTGCATTAGTCATGCAGTTTTACACTTGAATTTGTTTGTAACCTAAAGACGTTTTCTAAAAATAGCAGAAGTAAAAATAGGTTGAAACCAAACATTGCTTCTTCTAAAATGTTCGGGATAATTTAAGATGTTTCTGCACTTAATTTCTTTACCCTGTTGTGGCTGGAGACCAGTTTAAGGGTACAGTATGCAGAATGAGGATGGGGAGGGGTTGTGACTTGAAGGAGACAGGTAGATTGTAGTGTGGAGATGGGTAGGGGCAGCTAAGAAGGGCCAGCTTCGGAGACAGGGAGTAGCAGATCAGGCCCGTGCCTCTGTGGCTGTTTCTCGTCATGTGCCGGGCATGTTCACTCGAAGAGCCAGGCCTGGGCGTCGGGTGCTGTGTTATTTGTGAGCGGTCTGTGGAATGTGCTCAAACCCTAACCATGTAGTTTGTAGAGAAAATTCTAAATGATGACATGCCGTTTCTTTAAAAAAAAAAAAGGATCTTATAACTGGTATTAATAATGGTGTCTGCTTAATTTATTCTTTGGGCAAAGTATCCTGTTATCACTAAAATATTAATATTTCTTTTTAAGCCTATGTGTTTGTGTATGCGCCTGCATGCTCATATGTGCTCGTGTATGCGTGTGTGGGTTTCCAGCTGGTTTTGAAAATCATAGTGTTTTCCCACTAGTAATTCTGCATTTTCATTTATAGATTGTGTAGCTCTCTTGCATTCATTTTGTTTATTACAGAGCAGGGTTTTGCACGTGCATTCAGTCACCACAGAAATTGACGTAGGGCAGGTACGGATGCTAGAGAAAGGAAGCATGTAGAATGCCAAGAATCGCGGGTTACTGCACGCTCATTGGGAGCTCCTCCCCCATCTGGTTGTAGCTGCAGCATTCTAAATCCCAAAGTGGATTTTCCTTAGAGGACTTAAAAAAAGTACTGGGCATGCCTTTTTTTTTTTTTTTTTTTTTTTTTTTTTTTGGTTTTTCGAGACAGGGTTTCTCTGTGGCTTTGGAGGCTGTCCTGGAACTCGCTTGGTAGTCCAGGCTGGTCTCGAACTTACAGAGATCCGCCTACCTCTGCCTCCCGAGTGATGGGATTAAAGGCGTGGGCCACCAACGCCCGGCTCTGGGCATGCCTTTAATGAGCCTAAAAATACTCAGTCTTTGCTCGTTTAACAGTTTGGTAAAGTTGATTTTACCATTGCTGTAAGGAAGAGAGAGAGACTGGTTAGAAATGCGTGAGAAGTGACAACTGTATCCTCACCACTGTTTGGTCCCCACTTTCTGTCTTGTAAAGGCCGGAGAGTTTGGCTGACCATAATTACTGAAGCAGTGTCAGAATGAGCAGAGGTGGAACAGACCTTGGTGTTGTTCGAGCTCTAGACTTTTCCACAAACACTACCTTTGCCTTGGGAAGGGCTTCGCTTTTTCTGTTCCTTAAAGACATCTCTTCGTTTTGAAACTCAGGTGACTGTGACAGACAACGGTACGCCCCCCAGATCCACCATTGCAAGAGTAATCGTGAAAATCCTTGATGAGAATGACAACAAGCCCCAGTTCCTGCAGAAATTTTACAAAATCAGGCTCCCAGAGCGAGAAAAAGCAGACGGAGAGAGAAGCTCGAAGCGGGAGCCCCTGTACCGCGTCATAGCTGCGGATAAGGATGAAGGGCCCAATGCTGAGCTCTCCTACAGCATCGAGGAAGGGAACGAGCATGGCAGGTTTTCCATCGAACCCAAAACCGGAGTGGTTTCATCCAAAAAGTTCTCCGCAGCTGGGGAATACGATATTCTTTCAGTGAGTTGGATTTCTCTCTTGCCTTTCTTGGACAATAGTCACGTGGTTGTTTCTCTCTGTGGAGAAAAGTGCCTTCAGTGTTGAGATCTAATAGACAGAGCTTGAAGGCGTTTGGAAAGTGTGGGTTTTTGTGAGTATGGCCACACAGCCCTTACTCTTGTCACCAAGTATTACGCATACATTGTATTCAGATACAACTTTGGGATGTTTGAAACCAACTTAGTAGACGTCAAAGCAGTCTAGGCTTTGGTTAGGAGATGCCACTGGGGATCGCTCTTTTCATCCCTTCTGTTCGTATTTTATAGATTAAGGCAACTGACAACGGCCACCCTCAGAAGTCATCAACCACCAGACTCCACATTGAGTGGATCTCCAAACCCAAGCCATCTTTGGAGCCTATTTCATTTGAAGAGTCGGTTTTCACATTCACCGTCATGGAAAGTGATCCGGTGGCTCACATGATTGGGGTGATAGGGGTGGAGCCCCCTGGCATGCCTCTGTGGTTTGACATCATTGGTAAGCGTCGTTCATGGCTTCTGTCTGCCTTGTGTGGGTTTCACTGAGAACCTCGTGTGGTTTTTCTGACTTTTGTTCACATTAGAATGTTAATTTGGGGAAAGATCCAAAGGTGAAGGATTTTCTTAAACTATAATGGCTTGACAGCAGTCAGAAAAGAAAAAGGAATCTCACACCATCTGTTAAAGTTACTGAAAGTCAGTACTCCTGGCTCTACAGAGAAGAGTCCGAGTACCGGCTGCTCTTCCAGGAGCCCTAAGTGACAGCGTGCAACCCTCTGTAGCTCCAGTTCCAGGGGATCTGATGCCCTCTTCTGGCCTCCACAGTCACCGCGTGCACATAGGGCGCAGACTGACAGACAGTGGGGAAATATCCACATGCATAATTTAGAAAGAACAAATGAAAAATATGCATTCTAAAACCATTAAGTCAAGTAACATTTTTACAAAAAAAATATTTTGGGGGGACATACACAGGGAGTTTCAGGAACCTGATATACATGCCATGTTATTATTTGTCATGATATGAAATTTATAGTGCCGCAATAGCTTCTTAGTATTATTTACCTTATTTTCCAGGAAGCTTCGCGCTCCTAGAAGGTAATGCTTAAGTCAGCATTTTTGCTATTTGATGAGCTCACACTTAGAATAGATTATATTAGGACTTTATACCTCACACGATCCTCTGCACTTCCTACTCCCTCTCAGACAAACACTACCCTCTGCTACTGCACTACACACTTAATGCTTGTTTTTAATGTTTCATTTTGAGACAGGATTGTTGTTAAGTTGCTCAAGGTGGCTTCCGATTCGTCACTCTTTCTACCTCGGCCTCCTGAGTAACTGGGATCATAAGCTGGGCTACAATACCTAGCCTTAGGCCTTTAAATTTTTTTTCACACTTTTTTTGTTGTTGTTGTCTTTTTTTGAGAGAGGGTTTCTCTGTGTAGCCCTGGCTGTGCTAGAATTCCCTCTGTAGACCAGGCTGGTCTCACACTCAGCAATCAGCCTGCCTCTGTCTCATGAGTGCTGGATTTAAAGGCATGTGCCACCACCAAGGACTCTCCACAATATAATAATGACAAGGATACTTAATGCATCAAAAGTCTGCTTGTTTGCAGCCACCGTCTCCGGCTGGAACTTAACCACTCCCTCTTTCCCTCCCGCCTCTTGGCCATGTGGCCTCCCAGTATGTGAAGAGTTATCTCCGAAACCTGTTGTTCTTGAAGGGGAAAATGATGAATGTCCTCGCTAACCATAATCATGATGTTTTCTTTCCTTTAACTCTTCTCCCGCTTCCAGATTAACCAGCTTCTGTACCGTATCAGACTTGCTTTCAGTTCCTTACTGTTGGGGACCGGTTTGACTGACTGTTCTTCTCCTGTTGCTTTCCACGCTTGCTTGCTTCCTTTGGCTGTGCCAGGAGACACACTTGCTAGAGAAGTCTTTTACGTCTTTCAGATGACTTGTGACCTGAACTGTACAGCAGAAGGTATCTGCTGTGATCACATAATTCACCACGTGATTATGAGATCAGAAATCAAAGCATGGATTTTTGTTCCCAGAGTCGATCCCCAACCCAACCCAATTCTTCTCCTAGTGTGTGCATGGCCACCCATCCCAGCCACAAACGTGTTGACTCTTAGTGTCGCTCGCTGCATCAGTAGTTTCAGGTTTGAGACGCATGTCTAGTGTGTGTGTCTCTCACTGTGTGTATGTGTTTTATTTACGTATGTGTATACTTTAAGTATGTCATTAAGCCTTATTTTCATTCGTTTCTTTTCATGTTGGTATGGGTGCCTGAAGTTCCATTTGTTTGAACAGAGTTTTATGTAGAATGTAATTGGGGGGAACAACTGGATAATACTCATGGGGACAGAGACCTGCTCCTGGAAAGTAGCTTTAAGGAGTCTGTAATAGATCTGCTTCAAGGTAAATGAAACTGTTTCTTTCAGAGTTCACATTTGTTTCAGAATAGTAGTACAATCTTTTTTTTTTTTTTGCATTGAGGTTTTCATAGTCATGCACAAATTTTTACAATGCCTGAAAAAATCCAAAGTAATTGATAGGTAGTGATAGCAGGTTCCTTTGCTTGTGGAGTTGCTTTTTCTCAGTTCTTGACCTCCTTGACATTAAGGTCCAGTGTTTCCCTGAAAGCACTCTTAAGAGCTGCCACTCTTTCCCCGCGTTTGGAGATCCTAGCTCCTTGGTGTCACTTTGATCATTGTATTGAAAGTCTGTTTTCATGGCCATTGAGTATTGGAAAGCTATAAAACACATGGCAGATCTTTATCCTGTGATTTGTTCCAGTACTTATGTCTCTCCTAATTCCAACTAGGTGGCAACTATGACAGTCACTTTGATGTCGACAAGGGCACGGGCACCATCATTGTTGCCAAACCCCTTGATGCAGAACAGAAATCCAGCTATAACCTCACAGTAGAGGCGACAGATGGAACCACCACTATCCTCACTCAGGTAAGTGACCGCTGGCAATGCGTTTGTCAGGGGGCACTGAGGAAATGCCCTCACATCAGGATGCACAGATCACATGCATACGCAGTTGTATGGTGACGTAGTTTACACATGCACGCACCTAGAGTCCTTATTTAGGGACAGAAGATGCAAATCCTGAGGGGTTTTGCCTTCTGTTTAGCAGTCTCATAAAAATGTCACTAGGAGAATTTAATCCAAACCATACTCTTAGAACTTTTCCACCAAAGTCTTAGTCTTTACTTACCTTAATCTGTGTTGGTAGAGTTTTATCACAGGATGAGTTCTACATATCAATTTCTTGAAGCTCTTTAATATTTTGAACTGCTCACAGGTTCCCTCCCTCCTACCCCTTCTTTCTTCCATCCTGTTTTTTTCATTTGAACTAAACCCAGACTTGTGTAAAAATGGCTGTGAGTGAGGCTGTACCAACTTTTATTTGTTGCTGTCTGATTGTCAATAGCTGGCTAGATTTCTGGTTTTCAAACTTTAATGTTAAAATCCTGTAAGTTAATTGAATTCTCTTTTTTAAATGAATTCTTTGATTCTTAATAGTGGCTGTCTGAAATGATGTTCCTGGATGACTAGTTATGGGTTTTAGGAGGAAATCCACCGTCCCTCCGTCCCTCCCTCCCTCCCTCCCTCCAGAGTTATTGTCTTGGAAGCTGTGTAGAGACTAAGATGCTTCTGAATTCTGTCTTTAGATTGTGTTCTCTGAAATCTTAAATGACACAGATCATCCCCTCTGTCATTTAGTCATATCAATGATTAACAATTCCAGTCTGGGATGTATTTCCAGTTAATAAATGACTAGAGAGTTTAAAGGTCGCTGTAAAAGTATTTTATTCCTTTCTCCACATACTTGTGATTTAATGTATGTAAGATTGGTATTGTATGCTGCAGTTATGCTTTTGGGGTCCTTTTGAGTTGCCGCGTGGAAGGAAGATGTAGTGCCATACCGTAGTCTCCATTTCCGTCATTGCACATCTCTTTGGGGTAACCAGCCACATACATTCGTTTTTTCTTTGAAAGGAAGCCTTGATGTCAAACTGTAGAGAACGAAAGTGAGAACTAAAATATCAGAACTCACAGTGAACTTTAGCAGTCTCTCTTGGAGGAAGATTTAAACAGTGTCACTGTGTACACTCTATTTCAGACGACTAAATGTAGCAAGAGGAATGCAGTAAGCTGTGGAAAAGGCTCTCCTTAGCAGCCATTCTCGTGACTACAACTGTGTACCCACATGGTGTTTTTATCTCATTAGGAAATAATTAGCAACGCACCTCTTCCCCTCAAAACTGTGTTTTTAGTATGGTTGGGCGCTTAGTATGAAGCTTTAGTGTACATTATTACTAAAATTCCCCCGAAACACAGGAGATGAATTAGCGTCCGTTTCTCCTATAATTCAGGGCAGTGTTTATAGTTCTGTAACTTACTGCGATGCCTGCTCAGAGAGTCCTGACGGTGTCCCAAGGGATCGCTGGCATGGGAAGGTTGGCAGAATATAAGACAATGGTGACAGAGGCCAGGCTGACCCGTGATACTGGGGACAAAGGGAACAGGCAGTAATTAGGTTTAGGTTTCTGCCTGCGACCGTGCGCAGGGAGATAGAGATCTGGGACAGAGTGGAATGGGTCCTGTGGAGAGGCCCATGGGCACCTGAGCTACACTGATAAGGCCTGGAACACTGGGCAGATGCAGGTTTGTTGGTGAAATTCAAGACCCATGTAGCAGCTTCGTGCGTTCAAGTGAGTAGCCCAGGTGCTGGATGCGGGAGGGACAGGGCGGTGGCTTTGGTCAGACGTGTGGAGCAGGGAGAGGGGGCAGTGTGGATGCCACTGTTCTGCCATAAAACATCGTCCTTCCACGTAGAATATGCTTGGCACCAGGTTGAATTGTTTTTCTTTCTCTCCTTAGGGTCTCCAGATAACTTACAAATGCAGCTACTCTTTATTTTATTTTATTTTGTTTTGTTTTGATAAGACAGGATGGGGTGGTGTTGCACTGAAGCAGCTTCCTCCAAGTTTTCTTGCAGTTTCCCTGGAATGTGATTTTTGCGTTCTGGGCAGGCAGCCTGGTTGGAGCCCTGTCTCCACCTCTCGGTCCTGGGCAGGGACAACCCTCAGACTGCCTCTGCTTCCATTGCCTCAGCTGGAAAGCGAGCATGGTGGAGAGTGCTCGCCACCTTCCCAGTTCTTCGGAGGAGCTGGCTCGCTCTTCATGCGCTTACCACCTGTCTTCAGGACATGCTCCTGTGACATCGATGTCACACAAGATCACTGTGCATGCTCCTGACACCACACCCCTGAAACTTCACTTACATTCCTGTCTCTGGTCCCTGTAACTCATCTGGGGCTACTTGCCCCAAAACTGGTCAACATGACTGAGAAGAGGAGATGAAAATGCATTTCCTCTGGTGAAAGGGTGTGAAGTGTAGAGGGTAGCTAAGTCTCCATCCTTACAACTGTGGAGTATATAGGATAGCTAAGTCTCCATCCTTACAACTGTGGAGTATATAGGATAGCTAAGTCTCCATCCTTACAACTGTGGAGTATATAGGGTAGCTAAGTCTCCATCCTTACAACTGTGCAGTATATAGGGTAGTAAGTCTCCATCCTTACAACTGTGAAGTGTAGAATATAGCTAAGTCTCCATCCTTACAACTGTGGAGTATATAGGATAGCTAAGTCTCCATCCTTACAACTGTGAAGTGTAGAATATAGCTAAGTCTCCATCCTTACAACTGTGGAGTATATAGGGTAGCTAAGTCTCCATCCTTACAACTGTGGAGTATATAGGATAGCTAAGTCTCCATCCTTACAACTGTGGAGTATATAGGGTAGCTAAGTCTCCATCCTTACAACTGTGGAGTATATAGGGTAGCTAAGTCTCCATCCTTACAACTGTGGAGTATATAGGGTAGCTAAGTCTCCATCCTTACAACTGTGGAGTATATAGGATAGCGAAGTCTCCATCCTTACAACTGTGAAGTGTAGAGTATAGCTAAGTCCCCACCCTTAGAAGTTTAGGCTGGGCAGCTTCAATTCCTTATTCCTCCCAATCCTTTGTTCTTTTGGGTCCAAGTCTTTCCAGTCTCTAGAGATAGGTATGCATTCTCACCTTTGACCTTCCTGGCTGAGCATCTTTCCTTGCTTTAGAAAGTCCCAGGAAACGTCTGGACTTAAACAAAACAAACAAAAACTCACCTTATGGTGTGCTAGCAGATTTTAGGTGTTGTGGGACTATGACTTTGCCCATGGAGAATGAAAAATGTGGTCACCGGTGCGTGCTTGCTTCTTACCTTCAGACCTTGTGGGTGAAGCTGGCCAGGGCTCAGTCAGTATGTGTCTCATGAATTGCCTTGTCAAAATGGGCGGCTCACTCTTTTCAGCCTTTTGTTTGAGAGTGGTTGGCTGAATGGAGAACAGCATCAAACTTCTCTGCCTAGTTTCCATTCCATGGCCAACTCAAGTTTTAGACTTGAAAATAGAGCATGATTTGATTTGTAGAAGAATGCCCCTTTGCAGCTGTGCCTCCTGGGTGCTCTTTCGTCTTTGAAAGTGAGCCATCAGTAGTTTCAAATGGTTAAATACCTTTCCCATAAAACTGTGTGTGTGTGTGTGTGTGTGTGTGTGTGTGTGTGTGTGTGTGTGTGTGTGTGTGTGTGTGTGTGGTTTGGCGATTGAATTTAGTATTCACATAGAATTGAGCATGAAAATGCATCTGTTAATGCTGGGGATCCTGGATGAAAAGTCTGTCTTTGTGTGGGTGCAGAAGTGTGGTCTACAGGTACATGACATCCCTAGAACTCTGGCTCCTTGTTACTCTTCAGTTAACAAATCCCCATGTTCTATAAAAGCTAGGCTTTTCTTATTCATAAACTGTAAGCCGTATTTTATGATTGGTGCTGATTTTTAACTCTGCCCTATCCATCTAAATTGCTTCATTCCAAAAATTAATCATCTGTCAGGGTAAATATTTTTGTTTCTAATTATGACTAAGTTTTCTGATGTCTTCCTTTTTGCTCTAAAGCTTTCATTTATGTCACTATGTTTGACAAGAGTTTTTCTTTACAACCTACTTAATTGCCTTTAGGAAAGGAATATAATCTATTTACATAGATTTTGAAGTCACAGAAATATAATTTAAGAACATTGTTTTGGCAGTACTGGGGGTCTAACCCTCAGCTCATGCATGCTAGGAAGTACCCAATCACTGCATACTCAGTGATTTCTGATTGCTCCTTTTGTATTAAAATCTTCTGGGGAACTTGGAGTCTCAGCTTAGAATGAGAAACTTAGATAGCAACTCTCTCACTGGCCTAAATCTAACATAGGAAATGGGTACACTGTAGTCCTGGCAAAGTAAATTCTGGTACCTTCCCTAAATCATCTCCAAAGGTCTCTTGTAGAGACCTGCAGAGAAATTAGCCTGCATTGCATAAGGAATTTTCAGCTGTGACCAGAATCCTATCTGGTTGTTGTTAAATATTAAGTAAATAATGTACCAAAGATAAAAAGCTGTAGCAGGTTTCTTTGATTCTAGACTTGTGTTGCTTTTATGTCTCATATTAATATTTAATTTGGTCCAATGACATTTTTCAATTATGCATGTATTTTTAATTTGAATATTAAAATAGCATAATTATGAAGGCATCTTATTTGAGTCTTTTTGTCACTCCTTCCAGGTTCTCATCAAAGTAATAGATACAAATGACCACCGCCCTCAGTTTTCTACATCAAAATATGAAGTCACTGTTCCGGAAGACACAGAGCCGGAAACGGAGATTTTGCAAATCAGTGCCGTGGATAAGGATGAGAAAAACAAACTGATCTACACTCTGCAGAGCAGCATCGACCCAGTGAGTCTCAAGAAGTTCCGCCTGGATCCTGCAACTGGCGCTCTCTACACGTCTGAGAAGCTTGACCACGAGGCCATTCACCAGCACGTGCTCACGGTCATGGTACGGCACCTGCTTATCCTGATGCTACCCTTCTCGACGGGAAGGTTTCCTGTGATGAGGAGGGATGGTGATACCTCTTTATTTCTATTCCACAGGAAAGAGAACCCCAGTAGAATGACGGTGTGTTGATTCTTTCAGGTACGGGACCAGGATGTGCCCGTGAAACGCAACTTTGCCAGGATCGTTGTTAACGTCAGTGACATGAATGACCATGCCCCGTGGTTCACCAGTTCCTCCTATGAAGGCCGGGTTTATGAATCGGCAGCTGTTGGCTCAGTTGTATTGCAGGTTACAGCTCTGGACAAAGACAAAGGAAAAAACGCTGAAGTGCTGTACTCAATTGAATCAGGTATTTTTGAAGCAATGGAGTCTTGTCTTTCTGCTTGAAAAATGTATCTTGCATTTTCAAAAATTACTTCTAGGTACTGAAGCATTTCTATGTACCACTGCAGAAATTTATTAAAATTAAAAAAAAATCTCAAAGGAACAAAGATAAAGTCCTGTAAGCTTGAGTGACAAGAATTCTGCAGATTAACCAGTGTTAATGTAAATTAAGACTGATAAATCCTGCAGGGATTTTCTAGTTCATAATTTCTGGACTTATTTTAGGCAGTCAATTTTAGGCTCTGAACTCAGTCAGGAAAATATTGGCTTAGTAATTCAACATTCTAATGAGTATTTTCTCTGGCTCAGAGTAAGAAATGTCGTGGCAGTGTGATGACTCACCCGTCTTGGGCCAGTTCTTGGAGAAAAAGGGGTACCCTCCTGCCTACGCCTTGCCGCCCCACATTCCACGCCCCTGTGCCATGAGTTAGGTCTCATGCGTAGGATTGAGTTGTTGAAACAGGCAACAGAGTGGTTGGTTCTGGAAAGAAGAGTGTTTGGAAGGAGCCTCTGGCATTGGCTAGAGGTAGCCTGAGCCAGGAAGGTAAACTGAGCCTGGGCTTAGGAGCTCCAGAATAAAATCAGGAAAGACCCCCCCCCCCAACACACACACACAGTTGAGGGTCATCAGAGTCATCACAGCAACGTGACAGGCTTTGCTCTTTCTTTGCTGCTCTTCACTCATCCCGTGGACTGAAGTAACTCCATTCATGTGCTAGATACTGTGCAAGAAATCACGTGGATGAGTTGAGAAAGATTCTACTGTAGAGCACATGCTCCCACAGCTAGGAATTCCTAACCCTGGTCAATACCCAGTCAGTGATGAGTGTGGAGAGGACTTCAGTCTCCTACAGTCCTCATAGCCACTGTTAGTATAAGAAATGGAGCCAGTTTAATTCTTTGCAATGATTTTAGAGTATTTTAATCTACTCATACATGGTCTCTCCTAGGCTTGAATCCATAGAGCTTGTAGATTATAGATTTATAGATCACAGACTCTAAATCTGAGAGATTTTGACATAAATACTTATTAGTGTGCTTTAAGTGTTGACTAAATTATTCTTATTCCCTTACACATTGGAAAACTTATTTGTTTATTTTAAAAGAACTGGATTGACTTCATTATTCACAAATAAGATTTTATGTACTGCCTGCGATTAGAGTGTGCATTGCTAGTGCCTTGGGTAGAGATAAAGAATTCTTGTCCCCCACTGCTTGAGAAACTTAGCAGTTAGAAAAACAGTACATTCCATTCGTGCGTGCCCAAGCATCTCAATGAACTGACTTTGTCATGGACAAACTGACTGGGTTTATGTAGGAGAAAATGTTCAACTTTCCCTTGGCGTTCACATAATTTTCAACAACTGGGTGGTTAAAATATGATTGTTGGTGCCTGAGTGAAGGCATGTGCATTCTTTGAGTATTTGTAATGACTGATTGGATTAGTAATTTGGTATTCTAAGAATGGAACTCTGTCTCTCCCCAAAGAACAGACTAAGCAATGGACCGTTCCCATGTGGAATAGGATTTTTAAGACAGTTTTCATAATACAATATTATGTTTAAAGAATACATTCATAGGAAGCCACCACCATGAAAGTGCAGTAGGATTTGTGTGTGCCTGTGTCTGTGTGCATGCATAGCACCTACTGGGATAGAATGAACTGTAAAATCTTCATACTGCCTTTCATCTGACACTTTGTTTATAATCAGCTGCTTTTAACTTGTGTCCAATTGCACTTACTAAAGTTCAGAAAAGCTGGTTTTAAATTTTACTTGTAATACTACATGTTTAATTAGGGGAGTTATTGAACCAAAAGTTTAGTCTGACTTGAAGTCTTCAGGGAAAGGAGTTTAATGAAAAGGTATTTCCAGTGGCAACTGAATTACACACCAGAGGCACATAAGTACCGTACCCTGGGCTGGATGGTGTTGGCTTGTCAAAAAAGTAGATGAGAGTGTTATTTCACTACTGTTGTCACCCCTGGAGAGAGATAGCACTTGGTGAATGTATTAATTGGTTAGAATAGGTTTTTGTTCCTCCAACTCCTATGGTAATCACCATTGAAACTTGGTAGAGGTTTCTGCTCTGTCAGCAAGTCCTTACTGAACACAGACTATATCACATGTCTCTCTTTTGTGCTATATAGGAAATAGTCGTGGCTTCAGGGCAACATTGGCTTGTTAGTGCAGATAATTTTCCTGTTGAAATGCAAAGAATGATTTAAAGTTGTATTGTTCCAGCTAATGCAAATGAGTCAACCCCACCCTAGATAGTACAAAACTTCTGCTCACCTCCTTATTTCCATTCACAGGGAGCAGACATGTATTTCAGGGCTTGGGAAATGAACCTGTTACCCAGCAGTCCAAAGCCTGCATTGCCTTTCGTATATCTGAAGCCATGTTGCCCTCTGTATATCTGAAGCTTTGTTCCTCGTTACATACACGTGCAAAACCCAAATACTGAATCACTAGCTGGGCTCCCAGTGAGCGTTTTTGTTTTTGTTTTGTTTTTTCTATGTCAGTGACAAGCTCAGGGTTCTCTGAATTCAATGCCGGATCTCCCAGCTGGTGAAGAATAATTTTGAATTTTACACAGCTGATAAATAGCAGGAATGTTTTACATAGTATAAAGAAAGTTCAGGAGCTGGTTGTGGTGGTACATGTCTTTAACTGTAGCCCTTGGGAGACTGAGGAGGAGGCCAGCCTGAGCTACTACATTGTTTGTTCTTGATGATCCTGAGCTACACAAAAACAAAAGACAAACTAAAAATGAATAGGAAAAAAGAAAGCACTTAAAATGGAAAACTACAATAAAGAATAAAGTAGCCACACTGGACAGCTAAGTTAAGACAGGTCTTCAGGCAGGGGCATTTGGGTAAATTCCAAGTAAATAGGTGGATGGAGAAATTCTGGGAGTAGCTAGGGAAGACTGCTTTGGGAGAGAACATGGTGAATGTAAGGGGCCTGGAGTGAGAGAAGAGCAGAGGGGATACTTGGATCACAGTCGTGCATCATAACACAGTCTGTCTCTGTAACATTAAAAATGTTCATTCCTCTCTTCATCTGAGTATGAGACTTCACTGGCCAATAGGATTTCATTATGGAAAAAAAGGACAAATACATGCAGAGGGGTGGATATAAATGTAGCCAGATGGGCTGTTTTCCAAAACAGGCTTAATAAGAAAGACTTGGGTTGGGGGTGATCTGGGCCGTTAAAGTCAGTTGCCAAAAATGTGAGCAGCTGCACCTGTCAGGCCAGGCAATCGATGCAGCTTTGGAAGGTGAGAGTAATGGCTGTTTGGACAAGGAAAGGACCCGAGTTTTGATGTTTGCCTAAGGCACAGTGACAACCTGGGATCATGGATGCTCCTCAGTACAGACAGGCCGGAAATCAGTGTCTGAGCAGCCTGGCAGAGACCTGGGCCAAGGTTCAGCCCAGGCCTTCAGGGTCTGGAGAAACCTCAGCTTCCACCCCGCTTCAAACCAAGGCATCGCCTTGGGGCTTGGACCCAGAGCCAGGCCGTCTTAATGAGAACCAGGCTATGTCTGGGCTCAGAAAAAAATGTTATGGATTTTTGGAAAATGTATTTAATGAAGGAAATGAACACTGTAGAGGAAGTGCTTGCTCCTAATGTGCAGAAAGAGGTGCTCGTTAGTTAATCCTCTGGTTTATAGATCACGCTAAGTACTCCTGCTCTAAGGAGTTCGCTGGTGGCAAACCCAGAGGAAGAGGAGTGTGTAAGGAAACAGCTGAATGGCAGTTGGACTTAGTTTTGCCATAAAGTGTGCATTTGGGAAGAATGAATTCCGTGCTGGGCTGGTTTCTAGGAATGGTATGGATTCACTCAGGGGTGGAACCCAAAGAGCGCGTCCTACCTCTCCCCCCCCGCACACACATACACACTGTGTCCTGGCTCCATCCAGAACATCTCGGGAGCTGCTGGTCTCTTTAGAACTCTCTGAGCTGTGGGGTGTTGGGAAGTTGAGGGAACTCGATCTCCGGTAGGATAGCCTGGAAAGATCCAAAGAAACGCCAGTAAAGCCATCTGTCCTAGCAGTTTGCTTCTCAGCTGCATAAGCACTGTTGATGGTTTGAGGCAAATAACTACTTGTTGTGGAGGCTCTCATGTGCCACATAAGCTGTTTTTGTCTCTTGGCCACTGTCATCTACGTGGCAGTAGCACTTCCTCCATTCAAGTTGTGACAGCCAAGCTACCAGATGTCTCCCTGGAAGCAAAATTCCTCCTACTCGAGAGTCACTGCCTAGAAGATAAGTCAACTCAGAAAAGGTTCAGAAGAGAGTATTCGTTGAAATCTTCCAAACTAGTCAAGTAGGGTAGGCTGCAGAAAATTGTTTTTCAGTTCTCTAACTACTTACAAGGTTTTCTTCAAGCGGGGTATAAATTTTCTTAGTGAATTGAAAACATCCCGTGTAAGTGGTAAGTGATTTAAAAAAAAAATGATGCATTCTGCAGGATTTCGAGGCACTGTTGGAAAATCCTTAACTGAATTGCCTTGCAAGAGGAGAGCCATGTGTTTTTACAGCACATTTTTCAGTTCAGCAGAGAGAATTTTGGCTGTAGGTACAGAACAGTATTTTTTTCTATTTCATGGTTTTCGTATTTGACAGCCAAAATTCTGAACAGTTTAAACGAGTAAAAATGAAGTAAGTTGAAGGTTTCCTTCACTTGTTGATATCTCCTGCTTTTCTATTTAATTCAGGGAGTAAGTTTTAAATACCTCTTTCCGTTTTTCTGCTATTTCTGTCATTTTTGGGTTTTTCTCTAATAGATTTCTTTTTTTTTTTTCCCTTGCCCTTCCAGGAAACATTGGAAATTCTTTTACAATCGACCCCATCTTGGGCTCTATAAAAACTGCCAGAGAATTAGATCGAAGTAACCAAGTGGAGTATGATTTAATAGTCAAAGCTACAGATCGAGGCAATCCACCCATGAGTGAAATGACCTCTGTGCATGTCGCTGTCACTGTGGCTGATAATGCCTCCCCAAAGTTCACGTCCAAGGAATATTCCGTTGAAATCAGCGAAGCCGTCGGCATTGGGACTTTCGTTGGGATGGTCTCTGCTCACAGTCAGTCATCAGTGATGTATGAGATCAAAGACGGGAACATAGGCGACGCCTTTGACATCAATCCACATTCCGGAAGCATCGTCACCCAGAAAGCCTTGGATTTTGAAACCCTGTCCATTTATACACTGACAGTACAAGGGACCAACATGGCCGGCTTGTCGGCCAATACAACTGTTATAGTGCATATGCAGGATGAGAACGACAACCCACCAGTTTTCACACGGACAGAGTATTCAGGATTCGTTAGCGAGTCAGCTTCAGTCAGCAGTGTGGTTCTGACAGATAGAAATGTGCCACTAGTGATTCGAGCAACGGATGCCGACAGGGAATCCAATGCTCTGCTCGTTTATCAGATCGTTGAGCCGTCTGTGCACAACTATTTTGCTATTGATGCTACCACCGGTGCTATTCACACGGTACTGAGTCTGGACTATGAAGAAACCCATGTTTTTCACTTCACTGTTCAAGTGCACGACATGGGCACTCCACGTCTGTTTGCTGAGTGTGCAGCCAACGTGACTATTCATGTAATTGACATCAATGACTGCCCTCCTGTCTTCTCTAAGCCATTGTATGAAGCATCTCTCTTGTTGCCAACATACAAAGGAGTGAAAATCATCACCGTGAATGCCACAGATGCCGATTCCAGGCCATTCTCACAGCTAATATACTCCATCACCGAAGGCAACATTGGAGAGAAGTTCTCAATGGACTACAAGACGGGCACAATAACAATACAAAACACAACCCAGCTGCGAAGCCGCTATGAGCTAACCATCCGAGCCTCTGACGGCAGGTTTGCAAGCATGACCTCTGTGAAAATCAATGTGAAAGAAAGCAGAGAGAGTCCACTCAAGTTTACCCAAGATTTCTACTCTGCCGTTGTGAAAGAGAACACCACAGAAACCAAAACATTAGCTGTCATTACTGCTGTAGGGAACCCGATCAATGAGCCTTTGTTTTATCGCATCCTCAACCCGGATCGCAGATTTAAAGTCAGCCACACTTCGGGCGTGCTGTCAACCACTGGGGTACCATTTGATCGAGAGCAGCAGGAAGCGTTTGATGTGGTGGTGGAGGTGACAAAGGAACATGAGCCGTCAGCAGTGGCCCATGTTGTGGTGAAAGTCACCATAGAAGACCAAAATGATAACGCGCCGGTGTTTGTCAACCTTCCCTACTATGCTGTCGTGAAGGTGGATGCCGAGGTGGGCCACGTCATTCGCTATGTCACTGCCATCGACAGAGACAGTGGCAGAAACGGTGAGGTACACTACTATCTTAAGGAGCACCATGACCACTTTCAGATCGGCCCCTCTGGCGACATTTCTCTGAAAAAGCAATTTGAGCATGACACGTTAAATAAAGAGTACCTTGTCACGGTGGTTGCCAAGGATGGGGGAAGCCCAGCTTTCTCTGCTGAAGTTCTAGTTCCCATCTCTGTCATGAACAAAGCCATGCCTGTGTTTGAAAAGGCTTTCTACAGTGCAGAGATTCCAGAGAACATCCAGATGCACAGCCCAGTGGTCCACGTCCAAGCCAACAGCCCAGAAGGATTGAAAGTGTTCTACAGCATCGCAGACGGAGACCCTTTTAGTCAGTTTACTATTAACTTCAACACTGGGGTGATAAATGTCATAGCACCGCTGGATTTTGAGTCCCACCCAGCCTATAAACTGAGCATACGGGCAACTGACTCCCTTACTGGCGCTCACGCTGAAGTGTTTGTTGACATCATCGTGGAAGACATCAATGATAACCCTCCTGTGTTTGTGCAGCAGTCTTACGCCACAACCCTGTCGGAAGCAGCTGTCATTGGAACACCTGTCCTTCAAGTGAAAGCAACAGATTCTGATTCAGAACCCAACAGAGGAATTTCCTACCAGATGTTTGGAAATCATAGCAAAGGTCACGATCACTTTCACATAGATAGTAACACTGGGCTCATTTCACTAGTGAGGGCTTTGGATTATGAACAGTTCCAGCAGCACAAGGTTTTTATAAGGGCTGTTGATGGAGGAATGCCCCCACTGAGCAGTGATGTGATTGTCACCGTGGATGTCACTGACCTCAATGATAATCCACCTCTGTTTGAACAACAGATTTATGAAGCCAAAATTAGTGAGCACGCAGCCCATGGGCATTTTGTGATGTGCGTGAAAGCCTGCGATGCAGACAGTTCAGACCTAGACAAGCTAGAATATTCTATTCTGTCTGGCAATGATCATAAAAGCTTTGTCATCGACAGTGAAACGGGGATTATCACGCTCTCAAACCTGCGCCGACACACCCTGAAGCCGTTTTACAATCTCAATGTTTCTGTGTCTGATGGGGTTTTTCGAAGTTCGGCTCAGGTGCATGTGACTGTGATGGGAGGCAATTTGCACAGTCCTGTTTTCCTTCAGAACGAATATGAAGCGGAACTGGCTGAGAATGCTCCCTTACATACCCTGGTGGTCCAGGTGAAGGCAATGGACAGGGATTCTGGAATTTACAGTCACATAACTTACCATATTGTAAATGACTTTGCTAAAGACAGGTTTTATGTGAACGACAGAGGGCAGATATTCACTTTGGAAAAGCTCGATCGAGAGACCCCCGCAGAAAAAGTCATCTCTATCCGTTTAATGGCAAAGGATACTGGAGGGAAAGTTGCTTTCTGCACCGTAAATGTCATTCTTACCGATGACAATGATAACGCACCCCAGTTTCGCTCGACCAAGTATGAAGTGAACATTGGATCCAGCGCTGCCAAAGGGACGTCAGTCGTTAAAGTCTTTGCAAGTGATGCTGATGAGGGCTCCAATGCTGATGTCACCTACGCCATCGAGGCAGATTCTGAAAGTGTGAAGGAGAATTTGGAAATTAACAAACTGACTGGCCTAATTACCACAAAGGAAAGTTTAGTCGGCTTAGAGAATGAATTCTTCACTTTCTTCGTTAGAGCTGTGGATAACGGGTCTCCGCCCAGAGAATCTGTTGTTCCCGTCTATGTTAGGATACTTCCACCGGAAATGCAGCTTCCAAGGTTCTCAGAGCCCTTTTATACCTATGCCATTTCAGAAGACATGCCCATTGGGACAGAAATTGACCTCATTCGGGTAGAACACAGCAGGGCCGTTCTTTACACCCTAGTCAAAGGCAACACTCCCGAGAGTAACAGAGATGAGTTCTTTGTGATTGACAAGCAGAGTGGGAGACTGAAACTGGAGAAGAGTCTTGACCATGAGACCACTAAGTGGTATCAGTTTTCCATCCTGGCCAGGTGCACTGTGGATGACTATGAGGTGGTGGCTTCAATAGATGTTAGTATCCAAGTGAAAGATGTAAATGATAACAGCCCAGTTTTGGAGTCCAATCCATATGAGGCGTTTATTGTTGAGAACCTGCCAGGGGGAAGTAGAGTCATCCAGATCAGGGCGTCGGACCTAGACTCAGGAACCAACGGCCAAGTCATGTACAGTCTAGATCAGTCCCAAGGTGCAGACATCATCGAATCTTTTGCCATTAACATGGAAACCGGCTGGATTACAACCCTGAAGGAGCTGGACCACGAAGAGAGAGCCAGTTACCAGATTAAAGTCATTGCATCGGATCACGGGGAAAAGGTTCAGCTGTCTTCCACGGCCATTGTGGATGTCACTGTCACTGACGTCAATGACAGCCCGCCACGATTCACAGCTGAGATTTACAAAGGGACGGTGAGTGAGGACGACCCTCCAGGTGGAGTGATCGCCATCTTAAGCACCACTGATGCCGACTCTGAGGAGATTAACAGACAAGTGACATACTACATAACAGGTAAAACGCTCGACACGAATGGTTAAGTAGACACTAAATCTATATTATGTGGAATATGGTAGGTATGAATTTATGGATTTGGGAAGTTGATGTGATTTTAGTCAAGCATGTCTAAAATTGGTAGAAATAACATGTAAGCTGAATTTAAAAGTCTTGAGGCAAAAATGTTTCAGCCAAGACTCCTATAACTTATTCTGTTAAGTTGGTTTATTGCAAGCTAAATTATTGCTCTTTCCATTTGATAAACTTTAATCTCCTATTTGAATTGATGCTGCTACTTTGTTATTATAAAAAGGAAAGCTAATATGTAGTAATATGTATAGCACACACCTATAATCCCAGCTCAAAGGAAACTGAGGGCAGAGGATTCTATAATTTAGAGGCTAGCCTGGCCTAGCCCAAACTACATATGGAATTCAGTCCAGCTTATGATACAAAACGAGAGGAACAAAAACAAAAGAAAAGCTAACATGTATCAAGTTGAATTATACTTTCAAGCGTTTTAATCCTTTTTAGGCCTTAATGTCATACTTTTTTTTTTTTGTATAGTTTTTTTTTCCCCCTCCTGGTTATTTAATTCACTTTCTAACTCAACCTTGACCGTCATCTTCCTCCTTTAATTTACTAGGAGGGGATGCTCTGGGACAATTTGCTGTTGAAAATATACAAAATGAATGGAAGGTCTATGTGAAGAAACCCCTGGACAGGGAACAAAAGGACAGTTACCTTCTGACCATCACAGCAACCGACGGGACCTTCTCTTCCAAAGCCAGGGTTGAAGTGAAAGTCCTCGACGCCAATGACAACAGTCCAGTGTGTGAGAAGGTAGGTGTGCTTCCCTCGGGACTGGACATCATCAGTAGGAGTCGCTTTCATCCTTCCCATAGGGGCAGCCATTGAGGCGCTGTGATTCACACATGTTCTGTGTTGTAGTTGCTTATTGCTGAGGTGGTGGAGAGTTGAATGCAGAGGGCTTGGGAAAGCGTCAAGACTACTTGGCATGCTAAGTTGGCCAAGAACTTTGCTCTAAAATACTGCAAAATGTGGGTCTCTTAGACTAGTTCCTGACTCTAAAAAATGGTCTCTAAACTTTTATGGAGACAGACAGTCTCTTCATTTGAGGATGCAGTTGTTTGGGGGATGGGGAAACATCTGGCCAGCAGCTTTCCCTGCACGGCACAGGTGTGCTGTAACAGACCGTTCCGAGGCATTGGCTGTTCACACCAGAGAAACCAAGAGGTCAGTGGAATGACCTGCTACTGCTGGATTCAGTTTAACTGGGGCCATGAGACCATAGCTGGAGCTGAGCCATGAAAAACTGCCCACTATGTTTAGCCTTCAGAAGGTAGCACTCTGCTGACCGGGAGTAGAAACGGAAAGCCTTGCAGTGTGAAGAGTGAAGGCAGGTGTGGGGATGCCAGCTTTATTTGCAGGGATGTGGTAGCAGCCATGGAAGAGGATCCAGGCATCGGGCGCACAGCTGGTATCCCAGCACTTTTGGCTGAGGGAGGAGAATTTTCACAAGTTCTCAGGGAATTAAGCACAAAATTCATCATCAGAGGAAGTGCAACTTCTAAGGAATGAGCTCTTAATTCCAAAATGTATTTGTATTTTTGGATGACCGTATTTGATGACAGTGATGGGGTATGCATCTTTTTTTAGAGCGCGCACACACACACACACACACACACACACACACACACACCCATATAAAACATTTTCCCCATTCATATTTTTTAAATATCATACCACTCCACCTTAGGTAGTAATATAATTGGGAACACAACCACTTAAATAATCACTGTTACAAAATACCCAGTTTTGTGAACTGCAAAATATATCTCTCAGTATTAAGCTCTTACTAAGAAGTAATGCAACGGAAGCATAATCTCTTTCCCTTATGTTCTATTTATGGCATGGCTAACGTGATAATTGGAACTGGAACCAAGTGTCCAACTGTGTGAGGACTTCGGCAGATGTGAAGAAAGAGGAAACCAGGCAGGGTAGCAAACGTGCCTGAGCCTTACCTATCCCGTTTTCCCCCCTTCCCGCAAAGAGCATTTCTAACTACAGTTATTTAGTTCTGTGTGGAACAGTTGGTTGCACACAGTGAACCCCTGTGCTTCAAACTAAGTAGATATAATGTAAGAGCTATGTATTTCCTCTGGCTACCACTTCCCATTTCCTCATGCGTATTTGAATCAAGTATGAAACTGTCCAGCACATCATATTTTGTATCCTGTGGATTCAATGTCAGGCCAGACCCTTGGATATGGGCCGGTTCTGTTACGAGGCTCTTGTCCCTGCTTTTGCGTCTGTTTTATAGGAGCGATCACTTTAAAAGCTCTGCGAGTATTAGCTTCAGTCATTTCCCACGTTTTCCATGGCCAAAATGAAATGATTTCTTTTCCATCATTCCCTTGGCAGTCACTGCGCACCTTCAGCGCTTCTGTTAAAGCAGTGTTGTTTAATGTCTTGTAGACTTTATATTCTGACACCATTCCTGAAGACGCCCTTCCTGGGAAGCTGGTCATGCAGGTCTCTGCCACAGATGCAGATATCCGGTCCAACGCGGAGATTACTTATACTTTATTTGGTTCAGGTGCAGAAAAGTTCAAACTAAATCCAGACACAGGTAAGGATAGAAGGTGGGGCTAATTTAATTAGGCATTTCCTATATGTGGGTGACATGAGGTCCTGCACAAAGCAGGAAATTATATTTTTCTCTTTTAAAATTGGTTCTGTGGAAATGGCGTCTTAGAAATCTAAACAGCAACTTAAAGTGTAAAAGTTGGGATAAGGTAAAAAAATAAGCAGCCATACATAGTATCATCTACTTGCACTAAGGACTTCAAGATTTGGAAGTTAATACAATTTCTTGGAAAAAAAATTAAGTGTCTCAAAGTTTCTGCTTTACTTATATAGTGTGTTTATTAAACTTGTGGACCTCCATTTATAATTGGAATTTTCTATAATGAAAGTGATCTATATTTTCTTCCTCTCTAAACTTTTTAATTTGATAAGGTAGTTGTTGATATTATTTTTCTCCAAATGAGAATTGTGGTTCAGATTTTGTAGTTATAGGAGAAAAAAAAGATGATGGATAATCGTCTCTCATATCCGAAATCTCCAGTGGCCCCCATTCATTTCTCTTTGATTCTAGGTGAATTGAGAACATTAGACCCCCTTGATCGTGAGGAGCAAGCCGTTTATAATCTCCTTGTCAAGGCCACCGATGGAGGGGGACGATCCTGTCAAGCTACTGTTGTGCTCACGGTGGAAGACATGAATGATAATGCCCCTGAATTCACTGCTGATCCATACACCATCACCGTGTTTGAAAACACAGAGCCTGGGACACTGTTGACCAGAGTGCAGGCCACTGATGCAGATGCAGGTACCGTTGAGTCAAGGAGATGTTCTTCCGCTGGGCCGTGCAGAAGGCTTCGGGACCCCCCATGGTGCAACACACTCCAGTGGAATGTGTTTGACCATCTTCTGTTCTCATGCATTTTGTAGAGCTCAGTATTGTAGTAACAGTAACTGAGTTGTTTTCCGTGAATGCTTGAAGTCTTGACGATTACACCCTGTGTAGCTGTGCTATCTCTGAGGTTGTGGTCATTATCTTCGCTAACTGATTGGTCCCAGTTCTGGGGATTGCACTCATGGCCTTCATAGGCCTGGCTTAGGTTTTTGCTGACTTCCTCCTCAGCCCCTTGAGGTGCTTTTTGTGAGCAAATCAGTACGGCCATAAAGATGCTAGTGTCACAGGAACATAAGCGAGCAGGTGCTATAGTGATAAAGTTTCACCAATTTTCAAAAGTATTTGTGAAGAAAATAAGTATATGCATTCAAACATTCTGATAATAGAGAATGAAGTATCTTCTTGAGTCATTACCATTGAATTTTTAAGTCACATTTTAAATAATTCTTTGTCACTGAGGCTGAATGTCAAACAGATTTTATTTTAGTTACGTTTAGATTCCAGCATGGAGGGGATGGGGGCTAAAGAGCCCCCTCCCTATTCCTAGCTAAGGAGCTGTTGACAGTTTATGGCTTCTGATGGAGGGGGGTCAGTTTTCTTTAAGGCTGTGGCCCCGGGTGCCTCCATACCCATGAGTAAGAGGCATCACAAGTTAGACATGGTGAATTATTTTTTAAAAAAGAAAGAAAAGAGCATATGAAGATGGGAAGGAACCTAGGAGGAGCCAGAAGTGGGGGGTGAATATTATCAAAATACATATTATGCACATATGAAATTGTCAAGGAATTAATAAAAAAAATATTACATTGAAAAAGTCTCGGCTACTATCCGTGCAGTATAAGTGAAAGCCTAAAAAGTCAGACATCTGTGGATCTTATTTCCAGTCTATACATTTGTAATTCAGGGTGTGTTTTTTAGATCATCTACACATATCTGTTTGCATTTTATCAATTTAAAAAGTCCCACGTTTTAAAATTTTTACATTTCTTGCTGTGAAACCTGATAGAATTTCATGCTTTGACAGGACTGAATCGAAAGATCTCCTACTCACTGATCGACTCTGCTGATGGCCAGTTCTCCATTAATGAGGCGTCTGGAATTATCCAATTAGAAAAGCATTTGGATAGAGAACAGCAGGCAGTGTATACTCTCACTGTGAAAGCCGTGGACCAAGGATTGCCCAGGAAGTTGACAGCTACCGGCACTGTGGTTGTGTCGGTTTTGGATATAAATGACAACCCACCTGTGTTTGAGTACCGTGAGTACGGTGCCACCGTGTCTGAGGACATTCTCATCGGAACAGAAGTTCTCCAGGTGTATGCAGCAAGTCGGGATATTGAAGCCAATGCAGAAATCACCTACTCAATAATAAGTGGAAATGAACATGGAAAATTCAGCATAGATTCTAAAACAGGTAACTTTCCCTGTGAACGAGAAAGCCCTCCTCATTCCATACTGAAGTCTGGATCTGTCTCTCACTTCACTTCATGCTAAGGGATGGGTCACAAGTGGCCAGTCAGTGGACGCTCTAACGAGATAAAACTCAAATTTTCTTTCTATTATTTAAAGTGGGATTGAAAGTGGTTTGGGAAACTTCCTACTCTGATTCTACATAGTATCTATGTTCTGGCATATCCATTGTAAATTGCCAGCCAGTGTAGGAAACTTTTGACTCTCACCTACTCTAGTGATAATGTACAGTGTCCCAGGTTTGCCAGAGTAGGATGCTCAGTGCTAGTAAACCTTGTGTAATTACTCACTTTATCCCAGTATCAAAGGCATATGGAGTGGCTGTCCCAGTCACAGTCTTTTTGACCTCTTAGATCTTAGTTCCTATACAAGAAATCTGTTAGTTTTTAAAGTTAACTTCTTTACCATGCTAGTGGCCTCACTAATTGAAGGACTGGATTTTTACAGAGACAGCACTACTACAGCCCAGAGTCAACCACTCCTACTAACTCCTGCTTTGTGAATAGTGGTGTAGTTGTGTTAGCCTGTGGTCTGAAATACCTATTAACTCTCAGGACATTCTAAAATGTTACTCTTTGAACTGCACCTAGTTTAATGTCGTGTGTGGCTGTTTCTGATGAAGAATAGGTGTCTAATGATGTTATTCTACAATGTATTTCTAATGCCTATTTTGTACTAATATTTCAAGTAGGATAGACTAGGTTGAGCCAAAGAGAAGTGTTATAAGTGTTAAATCAATAATAGATTTTTTTTATTTCATTATTTATTGAAATGGGACCTTGGTATGTTGTCCAGGCTGATCTCAAATATACAGTCTTCCTGTTGCAGCCGCCTAGCTGCTAGTATTAGAAGCATGTGTATGTGTCCCATCATTCAAAGAGGGGATGTTTATTAATATGAATTGGAGAGTTTTCTTAGACACTTCTTTTTTTAAAAGACATGCATGGCAATGATAACAATAAAAAAGAAACCAAAAGACACTGAATTGAATTTTAAAAAAAGTTTATTAAACTGAAGTTTGTAGGAAACTAGCTCAAAGAAGGAATAAGACTACCATCATTTTTAAAGCATTGTAGCCATTTAAAGCAGAGGTACATTATTGACCAGGACAGGAAATTATACGTCACTAGGAATATAAGGAAAATAAATGAGGATGTTGGATGGGTAAAAATTCTAATTTTAAATTATTTAATTAAACCATAAAATGTACAAAGTTTTTGGTTTGGTTGTTCTGAAATAAAAACTAAATATATTTAAAGGTACTGATGGTGCACTAAGAAAAAATGGAATCAGAATCCTGGAAGTAATTCTGTCTCTCCATACAGGGGCCATATTTGTCATTGAGAACCTGGATTATGAAAGTTCCCATGAATATTACCTGACCGTGGAAGCCACTGACGGAGGCACGCCCTCCTTAAGTGATGTGGCGACTGTGAGCATCAACGTCACAGACATCAATGATAACACCCCAGTGTTCAGCCAAGACACCTACACCACGGTGGTCGGGGAAGACGCGGCTCTTGAGCAGTCTGTCATTACAGTGCGTACTTTCCCTCACAGCTTGCCCCGTCTGCACCTTAGAGGAGCAGTCAGTAAAATCATTCTAGGTCTGCTACCTGCTCTGGTTAAAATATGTTAGGTCGCTGCGGTTGTTCAGCCAGAGGACGGAGTTCAGTGCTAGAGCACTTACCTAGTCCCTGTGAGGCCATGAGAGTCCTCACCGCTGCTAATTAAGACGGTCCTTGATGAGCCCACTATTGGCTTTAAGTAACTGCTGTTTCTTCCGTCCCTTCCTTGGCCGTTACCTAAATGAGAGTGATATTTTCTAGATTATGGCTGATGACGCTGATGGACCTTCCAACAGTCACATCCACTACTCGATTATAGAAGGTAACCAAGGAAGTCCATTTACAATTGACCCCGTCAGAGGAGAAGTGAAAGTAACCAAGCCCCTAGACCGGGAAACGGTAAGAAAAGGAGGAAGGGGGGGTTTAAACTGTCAGCAAGGCACTAAAACATTGTGCTCATATCTGCATGCTATTCATATCTGCATGCTATAATGTGAAGTACCAAAAAGGAACCTTCATCTTAGAAAATGACATGCTAACAAGTATTTGAAAGTCGATTAAAGTTTCAGCTCTTCAGATGTTCCCCTGAGTTACTTAAGAATCTGTGAAGCATGACTGTTAGGCAGAGTAAAGTGTGGCGGGTTGCTGTTATTGCTGCTGCTGCTGCTGCTGTTTTTAGTGCAGGATCTTGCTGTATAGTTCAGGCTGGCCTCACACAATACTCTTGCCTCAACTTTCTGAGTGCTGGAATCACAGGTCCCTTTTGCCATACCTAACTGACATTTAGTAATTGTAACTAAAGAACCTGGCTCTTTTAACATACTCGTATCCACTATGAGATGACAGAGGTGACCTGTGGAGTTCTCAAGGAAACACCTAGCTAGACTGACGTCCTACAGAATAGTACTCTGAGACTTGGCCAGCTTCCTGGCTTCTCCCAATGCTTACTCTAAAGCTACCATAACAGGAGGGAAGCTGTTTCACTTGACATGATTTCTTTTACAAGAGGCCACACATATTACCTTGAGGGATTTAGACGACTAAGTGTAATCCAAGTGTGAAATTGAAGGTGCCGGTGACCTGGCATATCTTGAGGTGTTAGAAAGGAGTGTGCACACAGGGTGAGAGGCAGCTCTTTCTGGATCAGCAAGATTTAGCCTCTTGGGAAGGTGACACCTATGGTATTACCAAAGTAACAGCATGTGGGCTAGGTCAGCGGTTTCCTCTTAGCATTTGCATAGTTTGTCTTTTTATTTCTAACAGAACTGTAAGATTTTTTTTAAGATCCAGCACTTTAATGAGACCCAAATGGGAGACATCGGAGAATCTGCTTCTTATTGAAAGCTATTTCTGTTGAGAAAATAATCCGCTTACTCACTGGCTGGGAGTTTTCATTTTAATCTTAGTGAATTGCCTCGACAAAGGCTTGGCAAATGAGGTCAGCGATTCCCAGTCGATTGGGCCTATACAAATGAATGGATGTTCTGTCTTAAAGATCTCAGGTTATACACTTACGGTGCAAGCTTCTGACAACGGCAATCCACCCAGAGTCAACACGACCACAGTGAATATCGATGTGTCTGACGTCAACGACAATGCGCCTCTCTTCTCCAGAGACAACTACAGTGTCATCATCCAGGTGAGTGGGGAGTTGAGGGGGGATGGGGACTCCTACATCTTTCACTGACCCCAGATCCTCATTTGACATAGCTTTCCTTCCCAAAGAGCATGTTTTTAAAAACTGGGGAAGATGAATTTAGAGGATTCCCTCTTAGTATAGAAGAGGTGTTGGCAAGACACAGGTCGGCTTTCATCAACTCCTTTTTGTGCTTTGTTCTCGCTGTCCTGGGATGAACTAGGAAGAGCTTTCCATAGTCACATCTTCTGATGCTTTGCTTTTCCTCCCCTCCTTGTCCTCTCCCCTGCTACTCCTCTCCTAACCCCGCGGATCCTCCCTCTCTCCACCCCTCTAGGACATCGTCCCTCCTTCTCGCTCAACATGCTCGCACTCATGCCTCCACCTCTCTCCCCTCTTCCTTGGTTCATCAGCAGTAAGGTTGTATCGTCTGTGTCTGTATGTTAATCAGAAAGCCCCACGTGTCCCTTAGCCATATAGGCGTGGCTGTGTTGAGAGCTTTTTGTTCTGTGTGACATTATGCAGGAAAACAAGCCAGTGGGTTTCAGCGTCCTGAAGCTAGTAGTTACGGACAAGGACTCTTCTCACAATGGCCCCCCCTTCTTCTTTACTATTGTCAATGGCAATGAGGACAACACCTTTGAAGTGAACCAGCACGGGGTCCTCCTGACGGCGGCTGCCATCAAGAGGAAAGAGAAGGACCATTACCTTCTGCATGTTAAGGTATTACAGCCTTTTCTTCGTGCTTTCACCGGGATTTGTAGAGAACAGCTGCAGGTGGTCATCTTTGTATATTTAGACAGCTTGCCTACATGTTATGGGGAAACAAAAGGGAATATAATCTGGTTTTTTTGAGTGCACTTCCAGTTTTGTCTCAGTAGCACTGAGGCTACTTTTTCATAGGCAGGGCTGGAACTTAGTGTCCACATGAGTAAGTAACAGAACAGTTCTTCTTCCTTGGCAGGCTTCTGTTGACAAATGGCTATCAAACGGTTGATAAGCTTGTAGAACATAAGCCAAACACGTGGATTTTTATCAGGAAGTTGTAATAATGACAGAGGTGACTCTTGTTTTTGTAGGTGGCTGATAATGGAAAACCTCAGCTGTCCTCGTTGACACATATTGACATTAGGGTTATAGAGGAAAGCATCCATCCTCCGGCCATCTTACCACTAGAGATTTTCATCACTGCTTTTGGAGAGGAATACTCGGGTGGGGTCATAGGGAAGATCCATGCAACTGACCAGGACGTGTACGACACACTGACATACAGTCTGGATCCCCACATGGACGGCCTGTTCTCTGTTTCCAGCGCGGGGGGTAAGCTGATTGCACACAGAAAACTGGATATAGGCCAGTACATTCTTAATGTCAGCGTAACAGATGGGAAATTTACAACGGTGGCTGACATCACCGTGCATATCCAACAAGTGACCCAGGAGATGCTGAACCACACCATTGCCATTCGCTTCGCCAACCTCACCCCAGAGGAATTCGTCGGTGACTACTGGCGGAACTTCCAGCGAGCTTTACGGAACATCCTGGGTGTTAGGAAGAATGACATACAGATCATCAGCTTGCAGCCCTCCGAGCCACACTCGCATCTAGATGTCTTACTCTTTGTAGAGAAATCAGGTAGTACGCAGGTTTCAACAAAACAGCTTCTGCACAAGATCAATTCTTCCGTGACCGACATTGAGGAGATCATTGGCGTGAGGATACTGGACGTGTTCCAGAAGCTCTGTGCAGGGCTGGACTGTCCGTGGAAGTTCTGTGACGAGAAGGTGTCTGTGGATGAAAGCATTATGTCCACTCACAGCACAGCCAGGCTGAGCTTTGTGACTCCCCGACACCATAGGACAGCTGTGTGTCTCTGCAAAGGTAAGAGCACGTTAGTGTGTGGAAGTGACCGGTAAAGAGTCAGGGACACTAGAGAGATGGCTTAGAGGGTTCAGGCTTGATTTCTAACACCCACATAGTAGCTTACCTTCCGGGATGCCCTCTTCTGGCCTTTATGGGCACCAGGTACACACACAGGTGCACATACAGATATGCAGGCCAAACACCCTTGTATTAAACAGTGTCTGTGTATGTTTTGTTGTTGTTTTAATTAGAAAGAGAATGTTTCTTGGCCAGGTCTGATAGTAGAGGGCTATCCTATGATCGCAACTACTTGGAAGGATTTAAGTTCAAAGCCACTCTAGGCTATCTGGTAAGTCCAGGTCAACCTGGGCAACATAATGATATCCCATCTCACGATAGAACAATGAAAAAAGGACTCCAGATAAATGTAAGCCAGGTAAGCCAGTGGAAGTGTGCTAGTCTAGCAGACAGGAGGCATGAGGTTCAACCCTCCAGTGCCACAAAAATAAACAGAGAAGTAAGTACAAAGAACGGTAGTGATCTTGTTTTTTTTTCCTTCATTACTCTTGTTTTCTTTCCTTTTTATTTCCTTTCCTTTTTCTAAACACAGATGGGAAGTGCCCACCTGTCCACCATGGGTGCGAAGACAATCCATGCCCTGCAGGAACTGAGTGTGTTCTTGACCCCAGAGACGAGAAGTACAGCTGTGTGTGTCCCGGGGGCGGGTTTGGTAAATGTCCAGGTGAGCACTCCTGTGACCAAGTGTGAATTCATGTAAATCCATCACTGACACTGTTTCGATAATTGTGCAGGTGGTTTGTCACATCAAGCTAAATGTAGAGGTGAACAGAGAGGGTGGGAACTCCCTGAGCTGTCGCTGAGCCCCCCTCTCCCCCCCATCAGTGGCTGTATGACCTCCAGCTTCATTTTTCCCCTTTTTTCTCTCTAATCCTCTTTTTTTTCCATTCCTTTTTTTCTCTAATCCTGTTTCTCCCAGAGCCCTCAACTTCTTGCTTTATTCCTCTGCTTAGCTTATTAAGGACATGTTCCCAGCCCATTGTGTGTAATCCTCACTCTTTTTAATAGCTGGACCAGGATTTAGTCACCATTCTTTCCATTCTTTATGTACAGAGGCTGTAATGTGTCTTTCCCACTAAAAGTCCTTTTAAGTTCATTTTTCCACGCTGGTGCTTTCTCCCCCTCTGTTTCATGATATTCTGAAGCTAGAATCTGCTGTGAAAAATTAAATACATTAAAAATGCTGTTATATATACTGTTATTAGCTTCCAAAAGAGTTGAACTATTCCCATTTCTTCCAAGGCATATAAGAAGGTCTCATGTCTGATTCTCTTACCTATTGAACGCTTTCAATTAAAAACCCTATTTCCTCTTTAGTGGGCTTGGAATACTGAAGTTTTGAACTTCTCTGGCTGCTGATGAGAGGGTTCACTGCTAATTAGTTGGTGTTAGCATTTCCTGTTTTGTGACTTGCCTCTTGGGCTGTCTGTTTCTGAATGTGTATAACTCTTTATAAATTGTGAATATTAACATGCTTCCTATTATAATTTACCCTCCCTTGTTATTGGTCCTTTATTTCATTAAATGTGCCTTTTGTCATTTTGAAATTGAATTTTTATTTAGGCAATTCTGTGAAAGTTAATTTTCATTTCTGGAGGCCAATACGATTTTCATCTTTTTTGAAGAATGGGGATTCTTTGTGTTTTTACTCCATAGGTTTTGCCAAATCACCTTGGGGCGACATCACTATTTTCTGAAATTGCCTCATAATAAGTTATACAGAACAGTTTTATATTTAGTCTGTTATTGTTTTAGAACCTGCTTCTCGGTGATATAGTGCTCTCATTCTCTTCCGCATGGAAAGTCCGTTGTGCTGTGCCTACTGAAACCAAGAGACATTTTATTTTTCATATTGCTCTAATCTTAAAAACAGACATCAGCCTCTGGGGTTTTAATAGTATGCTTAAGTTTGGTGCTGATAGGATTTTTCTTCTGTAATCCATAGGGAGTTCATCCATAACCTTTACCGGAAACAGCTTTGTGAAATACCGTCTGATGGAGAACGAAAACAAATTAGAGATGAAATTGAGCATGAGGCTGAGAACCTATTCTTCCCATGCAGTTGTCATGTATGCGCGAGGGACTGACTACAGTATCCTGGAGGTGTGTATTCATGCATCCTTTTACCGCAGATCGCGGGGCACCGCATGAATGTAAATTCTGTCTTGTGTTCTGATTGTCCCATTTAAAAACAAAGAAAGACGGGTTTGTGCCATGTCTCAAGGTTTCGGGGCCTGGATGACTGTTGACATTTGGGTGGCATCAGAAGTTCTTCCTGCTACCCAGTAGCCTAGAAACTTACCTCTGATGTTCTTTAACAGGTATTTTTTTTTGTATATGTAACAGCTAACATTCAAGTGCTAATATTACCATAGTTGATAGAGATCCCACATGATATTTTGTGTGTGTGTGTGTATGTATGTATGTGTGTGTGTATGCTGCCTGTGTTCAATTAACAGTTAATTATTAGTCATTTCCATATTATTTTTGAATGTGCAATTGGCATTTGGGATCCCCCTACCCCCTAGATGATCCATTTTTGTCATTTGTATAAAAAGATAAATGATTTGTGCTCTTCAGCACCTAATCAAAAGTTTATTTTCTTTTCACCCTCATTTGCCAAACACACCCTTCCTATAGATGTCGCACAGACTAACATTGAAGATTGTATGCGATTAGTGTGAACTGTATTTATTCTGTTGTAGATTCATGCTGGAAGACTGCAGTACAAATTTGACTGTGGAAGTGGCCCTGGGATTGTCTCTGTTCAAAGCATTCAAGTCAATGATGGGCAGTGGCATGCAGTGTCCCTTGAAGTGGAGGGCAATTATGCCAAATTGGTTCTAGATGAAGTTCATACTGCATCAGGCACAGCCCCAGGCGCCCTGAAAACCCTGAACCTGGATAACTATGTGTTTTTTGGTGGCCACCTCCGCCAGCCAGGAGGGAAACACGGAAGAAGCACCCAAATTGCCAATGGTTTCCGGGGCTGCATGGACTCTATTTATTTGAATGGGCAGGAGCTGCCTTTGACTAACAAACCAAGAGCCTACGCGCACATCGAAGAATGGGTAGATGTATCTCATGGATGCCTATTAACAGCCACGGAAGACTGCTCTAGTAACCCTTGTCAAAATGGAGGCACTTGTAACCCCTCACCTACTGGAGGTAGGCATCTTAAGGCTGTAGTTGCTCAGATGTTACCCATGTGTCCATTTAAAAGCAGTGTTTTCTCAAGTAGAGTTAGTGTGCCTCCTTTTACTCAAGGATGTCATCACTTCATGTGTTCAGCACAGATAGTGTAGTCAGAGTTAAGAAGCATGGCTGTAACCTTAGGCTAGTCTGAGGAGCCAGTGTTTTTTTTTTTTTTACCATGTTCTTTTTTTCTCCTGCTGCAGTGACCATGACCAAAGATAAACTAGGGCCATGTCCAGCCTTTAAGGGAACAGAGACCAACTGTCTTGCCACGTTCCCTAAAGGCATATCGTTGGAAATTATACTTGTGGGTGTAAACACGTTGTTGAATGGTATTGCTTATGTGTATGTTTACCAGTGTTCCGTACATTTGACCCACTAGCCTAATGTAATTATCATTAACTAAATCTAGTCACAAATATTTCCTCACTTCTCTTTTAGCTTATGCAGGATAAACATGCTAAATTTTAAAATCCAAAATCTTAAAATACTACACAATTCAGAACTGTCTGACTGCCAATATATTTTTCAAATTTCCAGGGTTTAGGACATTTGGGGATATCAGATTTCCAGTTTAGAAGTGTTCTCCCAATAAAATCTATTTTTAAAAAATCCTGAAATCTAAAATACTCTTAAAGTCAAATCATTTCAGGTCCCAGCATTTCGGATAAGAGATATTCGATCCACGGGCAGTGGAAAGAAGGCTTACCCATACGGATATCTCTTCACTCAGAGAGAATGGGAATTTTGCTACCTTTCATAGCTGTTGGGGAACTGTTCCTTCGCGTAAATGTAAAGGTAAAAGCAAGTGAAACACTGCCTGGTTAATGCGTGACTGGATTTTTTGTTGTTGTTCTTTTCCACCGTGTAGGTTATTACTGCAAGTGCAGTGCGTTATACATAGGGATATACTGTGAGGTGAGCATCAACCCGTGCTCCTCCAACCCCTGCCTCTACGGCGGAACGTGCGTGGTGGACAACGGAGGCTTTGTTTGCCAGTGTAGGGGGCTGTACACTGGCCAGAGGTATGCTTGCTTTGCTTAGCGAATTGTGAGGCTAAATATTGAAAGCATGGGGTTATTCTGCATAGGAGAGGTCACTGAGTTCTTCACTTGTTAATGCTGTTTGGTGTCTTTATTTGCAGTGAACTCATGAGGGTTTTTTTTGCATGTTCTTTTCCTTATTTAGATGTCAGCTTAGTCCATACTGCAAAGATGAACCCTGTAAAAATGGTGGAACATGTTTTGACAGTTTGGATGGTGCTGTCTGTCAATGTGACTCAGGCTTTAGGGGAGAAAGGTAAATAGTTTCTTTCAAGCTTCATATCGGCTGCACCTTTCCACAGTGCGGACCCAATATTGACACAACTTCATTAGTTTACACACATCGCTTCCAAGTGTGGTGATTCTCATTGGCATTATGACTTCCAGATGAAAAGTCTTTGAGGCAAAAGGATGTATCAAAAAGATTGATACTGAGTTGGAAAACCCTACCCTATGCCATAGAGCTGTCATGTATAGATGAAGACTGTGTGGGCCTTTGCAGGTTTGCAAATAATTGTAAACTGTTATGATGTTTTCTAAAGCAGGCGCCTGTGACATGGTGTCATCTATCCTTAGAAGCTACTAATGACGATTTCTCCATGTCTTGTACCAGTGTTGATCCAGCATCTAAACCTTGCTGGTTTTCTCTCTTGTAACCCTCAGTATAAGCCTAAGAGATGGCTATAATTTAAATATTTAGACATTTAGAGTTCTTGAAAAAATACGCATCTTTATAGCTTAAGGAAAAGTGCGCAAGAAACTCTACTTTCAGATGCAGTTTTATATTTGACAAGTCATTTCTCAGTTCTCTTTTTAGAAGTTAATGGAGTCAGGGGAGGTGACATCCTCCTTTAATCCCAGCACTCAGTAGGCAGAAGCAGGTGGATCTCTGTGGCCTACATAGTGAGTTCCAGGTTAGGTTAGCCAAGGTTGTGTAGTAAGACCGTGTCTCCCACAGAACATTTGGATAAGCTTCCCTCGGTCTCATGCTGCCAGTGTGGCCTGCCTGTAATTATTCTGTATCATTTTCCTCTTGGCAATCATAATCCTGAATTTTACCATTAGTTATGTGGCCTCAGTTCATTAGTTGATTTTTTTCCCAATCCTAATCAGTAAATATTCCTATATATTTGACCAAAAAAATGCCAGTTTTTATTCTAGTTGCTCATGATTTGCAAATAGATTTTTTCCCCAGAAGTGAGGAGTAATGTACACAACCATCCCACATGCCCCTGTTTAGAAAGCAGAAAGGACGGGTTGTGGTCTGCTCCGTGAGGGTGACGTGCCCGGGTTGTGGTCTGCTCCGTGAGGGTGACGTGCCCGGGTTGTGGTCTGCTCCGTGAGGGTGACGTGCCCGGGTTGTGGTCTGCTCCGTGAGGGTGACGTGCCCAGGAGGATGATGCATTTTAAAATGGATAGTGTGTTTCTATCCCCTCATGAGTCTTACAGGACTGCCATAATCGCAAGCAGGACCGTTTTCACTGAATTTCAATCTGGCCTATGAGAACAGTTTGCAGCACTGTAATTAACATGCACCTCATCCTCCCTGTTTCTAAAAGATAGACTGTCAGACCTTGAGACAGACCATGTTTTAGCTTATTGAATTGATTTAGTTATGTGTTAATTCTGGAAAAACGCAGCTAGATATTGGCTTGGTATGGTTACCTCTCGAATATGCACTCAATGTGTGGCGGAATGATCATTCTACAAAAGGCCTTTTGCTCAGGTCCCGTTTCTGATGTTTTCTGATTGTTTCACATTTTGGCATCTCTTACGAAGGAGTAGTGTTGTCTAGTGTTCTTCTGAAGGACTGTAGGACTGGTGTGATCTGATGCCTCCTGCAGAGATCTCTCATCCTTCTCCTCCTTGGCAGATGTCAGAGTGATGTCGATGAATGTGCCGGGAACCCCTGTCGGAACGGGGCCCTTTGTGAGAACACACATGGCTCCTATCATTGTAACTGCAGCCAGGAGTACAGAGGGAAGAACTGTGAAGACGCCACTCCCAACCAGTATGTGTCCACTCCGTGGAACATCGGCCTGGCCGAAGGAATAGGAATCATCGTGTTCATAGCCGGGATATTCTTGCTGGTGGTGGTGTTTGTCCTCTGCCGGAAGATGATCAACCGGAAGAAGAAACCCCAGGCTGAGCCTGAGGACAAACGTTTGGGACCAACGACGGCTTTCTTACAGAGGCCTTACTTTGATTCTAAGCTGAACAAGAACATTTACTCTGACATACCACCCCAGGTGCCTGTCCGGCCTATTTCCTACACTCCAAGCATTCCAAGTGACTCTAGAAACAATCTTGACCGAAATTCCTTTGAGGGCTCGGCCATCCCAGAGCATCCAGAATTTAGTACTTTTAACCCCGAGTCTATGCATGGGCACCGAAAAGCTGTGGCCGTGTGCAGCGTAGCTCCAAATTTGCCTCCACCACCACCTTCCAACTCTCCTTCAGACAGTGACTCCATACAGAAGCCTAGCTGGGACTTTGACTATGACGGTAAGAACACGTTTTCCATGTCTCCAGAATGCCACTGGAAAGGCATTGAGGTTGCTGACTCTGCTATATTTATGGGGCCGACGATAATGCCTTCCAACCTGAAATAGTGACGAATCTTCCAGTTCTTGTCTGGTATTGGGAGTTGGCGTTTATCTTAATAAATTAGACCTAATCTTGTTCTACGTAATATTCTGGAAAGATCATTTCACTTTTATAACCGATACACATTCTCAGGTATGATTTATAGCAGGGAGTAATGTGTCATTTTATGCTAATTATTTTATTAATTTACTAATATTTATGGTTTTTTATAATTATTATATAATAATGGGTCATTTTATGCTAATTTTTTATTACAGCCAGACAAGGTGCTTGAGTTCATATGAGCAGTATTTGTATTAGCGGCTTAGGACACACCTGAAGCTTTAGGAAAAAGCTATAATATGTCATTTTAGGACGAATTTTAATTCATCACCGGTTACCCTTTCTAGGCTTCTCTATGGAGAAAGTCTGATTTGTTGAGTCTCCTGAGATTATCTGTAGGGCTTTTTATTGTTTGGTTTCTAGGATGCTTCTCTAGCTCCCTCTTCTCCATTCTGTCGCTCGAGCACTAAGCTCAGCCAGGCCCTTGCTCCTAAACTGTGAACCAGAGGGAACTCAGAGCTCACTGCTTGCCTGCCGTGTCTTCCTTTCAGCCAAAGTGGTGGATCTCGATCCTTGTCTTTCCAAGAAGCCCCTGGAGGAGAAGCCCTCGCAGCCCTACAGTGCCCGCGAGAGCCTGTCCGAGGTGCAGTCCCTCAGCTCCTTCCAGTCAGAGTCCTGTGACGACAATGGTGAGTGTTGGGTGGTGATTTGCTGTGGCCACTGGGCAGTGCTGCTGATGCTCATTGTTGATTAGAGATGCAGATGCACACCGGGTCCCTAAGGAAGTATGAAAATGTCCCATGTTTCCCTTGGCATAAATGTAGACCAGGGATAAATACTTGCATGAGCCCATGCTGGGGAAAATAAAGTTAGTTCAGTCACAGACAGGGGCCTGGGTCCAGTCCTTACAGTTGCAAAAACAGCGATGTGCTTACTGGAGTGCTATTCTACCTATAGCAATAGGAAAGAAGAAATAGTTAATTTCACCTGTTCGGCAACCCTTGTACTTTGTGTATGTGTGTGCATAACAGGGTTACGGAAGCTTTTGTGTTCTATTGCTTATTTATTGAGACCATGCATTGCACACGCGCGCATGTGCACCCTCTGAGAAAGGATGTGTAGAAGTCTGAAATGTTCACTTGCCGTCACACCTTTGGTATTACAAGGTTTTATTTGTCTCCTCCCCACCCCACCGCTGCCCCAGCTCCCATTTGGATCAGAGCACACTGACTGAGAGCAGAGTTTAAGAGATGGCTAGTAAGTCGGATTATATTTCTAATGAAGAAGGTTTGGCAGCGGGATCCAGGGCCCAGTTGTGTTTATCTGGTTTTCCCAGGATGGATTGCACTAATAATAGACAGCCTCGCTGTATTAGCACATGTACGGAAAGTTATCAGTACCGTGATAGTGATTTTTCTACTGGAAATGATTGGATCTCAGAATGCATAGGATCAATTTCAATTTGTTTCCTTGTGTAAAAATGCAATGGGTTTACATATTAAGAATATTTTGTCATTGTAAAGAAATTTGCTAAAAGCTGTCAGTTTCAAAATAACGTAGTCCATGACCAGAGTAAAATAATTTATAAGGAATCATGTCTATGGGTCCCTGGGTCTGCTTGTGTGTAAAACTTCGCAGGGCCTTACCCTCATTAAAGGTTATATTTTCTATGTCTTGACGATTTCAAGCATGGTTAACATTATTTAAAGCACACCCTTGTTTACTCCTGGGTGGAGAATATGGATGTATTGTTGCTTATGAAACCAACAAGAGCAAAACAGGGTTATTTCTTTGATTAGTTTAGTTTTCACAAGTTTGCATTGCCAGATTATATGACTTATACTTCATCCCCTAAATGCTGTTCAAAAATATTTTTGAAAATTCTGTCAGTTTTTTCTTTTCTAGTCCTTTTTTTTTTAAACCTCATTCTTAACAATATTCAAATGCTTTTGAGAAGTCATTGCCAAAATAGTCATGAAACTTAATTTTTAGCTGAAGCAATGTGAGGAGAGATCTGCACTGTTATTGGTGGAATGTTTCTACATCAACATTATCACATGACATCAATCATTTTTAGTCATAAATTTCTAGTCTGTGCTTAACATTTCCTTAGTAGTCTTCTAAACCATTGTAGTAGTTAACTTACACTTAGCAGCTCAAGAGGTCAGTTTCTTGCGTGGTTCTGTAGTTTAGGAGTCCGCCTTGTCTCAGGGCTGTAGGCGGGTGTATAGGAGTCCACTGTGTCCGGGGGTTGAAGGCTGGTCACAGCAGGGCTGCATCTCCACAGGCTCCCTTGGTTTCCTTGTTTGTCCAGTGCCTAGAAGTCATTCGCCTTCTTGCTAATTAAGGCTTTTAGCTTTCACAGTTCATTTTGATCCCCATTCAGTACCTGTCATGAAAATGCCAAGCTCCAACCACAGCTGGCATGGCTCCCTTCTACAGGCCAGTCTGGTTCACTCAGCCCACTCGGCTAATTCAGGAAGCTTCCTCCTTAATGACAGCAGGAAGGCTGTTTGTTTGTTTGTTTCTCCATGTATTGGGTAAAATAATCATTAGATCTCAGGATTAGAATGAACCAACGGTTTACATGCCCATTTGTGTCGACATTGGTACTTTAAAATAATCTCACACAAATGGAAAAGGAGTCCACATAGTATCTGTGAGATGAGAAATACCCGCTAAGCAAAAGTTACACAACCCGTTTATGTTGCGGTTATGTTATAAGCACATATGTCTCCCTAGATTACTTTATTTCCAGGCAATGTACTGGTTCCTTGAACATGTAGTCTTTTGTTCAGGAGATGTAGATTTGAATTGTTTTTTCCCCTGATATGATCCATAGTTATAATTGTAGAAAAATACATAGCCAAAGCTTTTTTCACCTAACAGCCACTAAAACTTGACTGTTTCATTCACTTGACTGATAGTAACATGTCTATATCTTGATTAGAAAAGAAATTCCCTGAGACACATAACTAGCAGGGAGAGTGCAGAGGTCATGCATAACTATCTAATGGTATCAAAGCATTATTGCACAGTTTTAAATTAGGGGAGAAATTTACATTAAATTAAGAAATCTTATTTAATGCACTGCTTTCTACTAAATAAGGATTTTCTAATGGATTCCTTTTGTGCCCTCTTACAAGCTTCCATAGTGACTGTAATACACCTTGTCAACACTGTCGTTGACACGGTGACTAAAGAAGGTATAAGTGCTTGTGTTTTGTGTTTGTGACTTGAAGTGAGTACAGTGGGGTAACGTGTGTCTGCCCATTGTCCTGTCATTAAAGTAGTTCATGTTGGGGTGGGGGGTTAGTGGCTTTTGGGGAAGTATACATTCTCAGTGTAAATGCATATGAAAATTTTCTTTTTCTTTTTTTTTTGTGACTTGTTTTAAATGTTTGTGGGGACTCCTAAAGAAAACTTGGGGCTGGTTCCCAGCACCGATTTCTGACTGAGTAGGTCTGTGCTGGCCCTGAGAGCTCTTGTTTTTAATAAGTTTCCAGTCAGTTTGGATCTAGAAATGTTCTGATGTAGGAATCATCACTCAGGAAGTACTTGAGTAGACCATCAGGAGCAAACACAGTGTTGGGCTGGGGTGGGAGGTGGCCCACGGATAAAGCGCTGGCCACACAGGTGGCAGTGTGAAGACCAGTTCAGGTCCCCAGGCTTGATCAAGGCCTGCTGGTGATTCCTGCCTGGGAAGGCGGAGACAGGGAATCCTCAGAGCAAGCTGCCTCCAAGACTCTAAGCGAGATGATAAGCGAGCTCTGGGTATGGTTGAGAGGCCCCGCTGAAGGCAAAAGAGAAGCAAAGCATGTGTCCCAACATCAGCCCTGGGTTTCCGCATGCACACAAATGTGCATATGAGCACGCACATACACACTCATACACACGCAAGGCAAACGGGACCCAAGCATCTGTAGCAGTAAACACAGGATTCTCCCACAAGGGCATGTCAGCAGGCACCTTTTAAGTGGAAGAGACAAGGATTCCTGCCACATTTGAAGGGAGAGGAGCAGGGCAAGGGCCTCACTCACATCAATGGCTACAGTTACTAAGGGAACTTAGTTTTTCTTACAAGTACTGTGTTTTCACTTTTTAAGTCAGGACGTTATCTGTATTTTGTCTACCCAATTTTAGTTGAAACACGATGACATTCCAATGTTAAATATTGATAGTTTAAAGAAGCAGAAATTTAAACAGTTCTTCAATGTAATTTCTACTGATTCTTTTTTCTTATCTAAGGTGAATTTAAAGTTGAAAACTCACATAAGTTCCAAGGTTTATCGAATGCATAGTCCATAACAAAGGTTGCCAGTCCTCATTTATAAAGAAATTCACTACATTATACTAAATGAGTGAACATCTCCATAGATACTTTTCCTAAATATTCACTTTACTCATACTTTTGAAACCTGTCTTTTCCACTTTTATTTAAACTCCTACCAGAGATGTCAGTCAGCTACTAACTCATCACAATTAGTCCACTGTCTTGGTTTTGAAAGGATGTTACAGAGGGCACAGAGAGTATTTCCCCTGTAGAAAGAGAGACCGTAGTTCTGCCATGACGGCCGCACTGACAGTGATGATGGCTTACGTGAAGGGTCGTATTTGATCCACGCTATCTCGATTAATTATACCATGATCCGTGGGCTTCACCTCATTTCATGTAGAAAGCCAATGTGAAGCCTGTCCAGGCTAAGCATCACGTGCTCCTGAGACCAGAGCTCTGTCTGTAGTACAGTCACTGGGAGACAGGATAGCTACAGATTTTGTGGGGAGAGGCCAAACAATAAATGTAGCTGGTTAAGGAGTTCCCTAGGGAAAGGTTAACAGTGTGAGTCTAAAATCCTAGTGCCAAGTGCATAAGGTCTTGGGAGATGGTCAGTGTCCGGCTGTGAGCATGTAGCGTCGGTTTCCCTGAACCTGTGCTTTTGGTGCTTGTGATGTGCTGTAAAGTGTGTGCATTGTGTGGCTTCATGTGTTTCTAGGTTATCACTTAAAGTAGCCAGTCAATATATTCTGCATTGGTGCCTGGAAGTGTATAATTTCCCGAAGAAACTTCTGTTTCCAGGATTCGTAGCAAAGTCTCTAGTTTATCATCACTCATCATTCTTTTTCCGTGTCCGCGTCCCATTCAGTTTGTGCAACGTGAATCTCTCATTTGCGCTCATTAGAGAGAATGAGGTAAAGACAGTGTGTCTGGCTGGCTGGGTCTTTACGAACACATTATATTGTACGGTGTGCTGATCTGTGTTGCCGTTTCCGCCGTCTATCTATTTTAATTATCACTGTTTTCTTTTCTTCCTACTCTGCCAACAAAAGAATCTTTGGCTGCTCCTGACCTCAGCAAACCAAGAGGTGACTCATGCATGCCAGCTGTGCATTAATAACCACTAAAAATCCTTGGGAAAGATTGACCCGGTGCCAACTTGCTTCACTGGGGTGCTTGGTGCTATAGCAATATCTAAGGCCATGGTTGTGCATTGCCTTGTAAGATGGGGCGCCTAACCTTCTCTTAGCTGTCGAAGAATTGTTTTGAATCCTAAGGGAAAAAGAAAAACACCTACCCTTAAGTTAAGACTTGATTTTTCTTTAAAATATATATTTTTTCCATACTATCCAGTATGATCCTCAGTCCTTTTAAATGTAACAAAGATTGATGTAACTGTTCTATTTAACACTTATTTGGTTATATTTTTTTGTGTGATTTAGGGACATGGCTTGATACATAGTCTGTATTAATTCATCCTAGCTAATAAAAACGTAACTATTACCTGAGTTTAACTATGTTAAAGGCTATTTTTATTACCTTTAGATTTGCCTTAATTTAGTATTTTTTGGATGGCAGGCAGCACAGAGCCCCACTAGAGACCTTGGCTTCGAAAGCTTCTTACTAACGCTCTATTCTGCCTTCGTATAGAGCAGGGCCACCAGTTTCAGAAGGGAGGCTGAAGAGTGGTTAGGACTGTCCGTAGAAAGCTGCATGTGTTTTAAACGGTATAGCTGCTTCTGTTGGAACTCTGTTGCCTTGAATGTCAGATAAGAACCAAAACCGCAAGTCCACGTTCCGGAAATAGAGTCACTGTGTCGGGGTGGGGCTGTGTCTTCAAGGCAAAGGGTTTGCAGAGAGATGCGCTTGGAATGAATGCACATATATTTCTTTGTCTTGCCTCTGACACACTGAGCTCTTTCCCCAGGCACAGAAGCTAAAACAAATGAACTGAAATCTTGTTTTTCTTCTTTACCAAGGGTACCACTGGGACACATCAGACTGGATGCCGAGTGTTCCCCTGCCAGACATACAAGAGTTCCCCAATTATGAAGTCATTGACGAGCACACACCCCTGTACTCGGCAGATCCAAATGCCATTGATACTGACTATTACCCTGGGGGTTATGACATTGAAAGTGATTTCCCACCCCCTCCAGAGGACTTCCCTGCGCCTGACGAGCTGCCACCATTGCCTCCAGAATTCAGCGACCAGTTCGAGTCCATACACCCACCCAGAGACATGCCTGCTGCAGGTAGCTTGGGATCTTCCTCCAGAAGTCGGCAGAGGTTCAACCTGAATCAGTATCTGCCCAGTTTCTACCCCGTCGATATGTCTGAACCTCAAAAACAAGGCACTGGTGAGAACAGTATGTGTAGAGAACCCTACGCCCCCTACCCTCCAGGGTATCAAAGGAACTTCGAAGCCCCCACTATGGAAAACATGCCCATGTCTGTGTACACCTCCACAGCATCCTGCTCCGATGTGTCAGCATGCTGTGAAGTGGAATCCGAGGTCATGATGAGTGACTACGAGAGTGGCGATGATGGCCACTTTGAAGAAGTGACAATTCCGCCACTGGATTCCCAGCAGCATACAGAGGTGTGACACTCAGACTCCTCCCCAAAGTGCCTGGACCTTAACGAACCTAGAGATGGTATCGATGATCTCCGCGTTGTTCTTTGCAGCGGTCTTACGCGCTTCTCAGTGAGCTGCCGTGGGCGTGGCTGCATGGAATCACACGCCTCTTGACTTGCTAGCCATTTCCGGTGTCCTAACCGACTGTACTTGATGGGGTTCTCATCGCCAGTGCCATTTCTGAGCGTCTTTTCGTATCTAGATGTGTGTCTGTTAAAATAATGAAACCGAAATCAGTCCTGTCATCCTGTTAGCATGATTCATGTATTTATATAGATTCGATTATTTTAATTTTGCTTTTTGTGTGTGTGTGTGTGTAAATTTTCTGTACAGATTTGATTTTTTTTTTCTTCTTTCATAGTTTTAACTACGTTTTGAGAACGCATTGTGCATTTGTTTTCCTCTGGATCTGGGTGGTGTTAGTGTCGTCCGTCGCCTAGCACCCTGATTTTCTAATGTAACCAGGGTTTCACTGTGTTCCTTCCCACTGAAGTATGACATTTCATTAACGCATTTCAGTCCAGCCATTTATTTCTAGCTGTACATACAAAGTGAGGAAGACCTGTTACTGGACATGTCTTAAATGGGTTGCTGTATTAGGATTGTAAACATTTTTCATTATTGGAAAGTGTAAAGGGGACCTTCTGCATACCTGTTTAGAACCAAAACCACCATGACACAGTTTTTATAGTGTCTGTATATTTGTGATGCAATGGTCTTGTAAAGGTTTTTACTGAAAACTATCATTAGCCAGCCTTTCTTACTGACAATAAATTATTAATAAAATACTTTAGCTTTACTGCCTGGTTTTCTTCTGAATTTATATCGCTGTTCATGGTTTGCCTGATAAACTGAAATAGATGTGAAGTCACCAGTTGACAAAGCCAAGCCAAGCCAGGCCATACTTAGGTGTGTAGCCACTAGGTGGCAGTATGTGGCTGGTAATTTTTTTTTGTTTAAGAACCTTGGCATGTTCTTAATCTCTCCTATTCCAGCTTCCCTACTGCTGGGATTATAGTTGCCTACAAACATGCCCAGTTGTAAAACACATCTATTATAAATATTTATATACATACATACATATATACACCCATGCATGTATATAGATATGTGTTCTATGTACATATATATCTCATCCAAAAAAAATTCCCCCTTGTACATCTTTAATTGACTAGTACTTTTTCTAGCCATAACTTGAAAACCTTTGTCAAGGTCGTATATCTATCCATAGCAGACTGTTTTGGACCACCAGCCCCCAAATCACGACACAGAAGCTGTATTATTAGTTATGAGCACTTGGCCTTATGCTTGTCCTACAGCTCTTATAACTTAATTTGACCTGTGTCTCTTCATCTACGTTTTGCCCGGGGGATCTTTGCCTTTCTCTCATTCTGTATGTCCTACTTTTCCTGCTGTCATTTGAATGGAATCCGATGGGCGAGGAGCGTGGATGCCGGGGGAGCAAGTGTTCCAAGTGGAGGATGCTTACTCGTCAAACATGTAAGAAAGCTGGGGGAGATAAACCACAGAGTGCGGTGGGATCGCCTCTTCCCTCCCCTGCTGCAGGCCTGTAGCGTTTGCCACCTTGTGGAATGCTGAGCCGCCTGGGATAGAGGACCATCGATTCAAGACACTGCCCTTCTGAAGTCTTTCACACTGGCATTCCTGGTGATACTCTGTTCGTAACAGCAGTAGGGAGGATGGGAATGGACCAGTAGAAATGACAACCTCTTCAGCATTCCATAAAGACTTCGGGAATAAAACCAACCCATTTAAAAGCAGCCATCCCCTAATTACTATTCTCTTTTGGTTTAGAAAAATACATGGTTTTGCACATATTTAATGTGCAAATCAGCCCGAATCAGCCCACCTTCCAGAAGCAGTTGTCATTTCATTGTGTGCTGAGTAAACTTTGTGGGTGCCTCACTTACATGTGATATACCTAAGATGAGACTTGAACCAAACCTTGCGTCCTACTTGTTCCCTTCAGAGAGTGAGGGCATTTCCCAAATACTGTCTTAAGGAGCTGCAAAGCAGTTCTTTGCAAAAGTTAGCCATTCACCTATCTGCTACTTTGAAGACATTTCTTTCTTTATTGTGCGTTTCAGCATTAACAACCTTAAATATTAATTTTTGCTTCTCTTTGGGACAGATTTCTAGAAATGCGGACCATTTTTGTTCCTAGAACATTGCTTATAACATGAAACTCCGGGATTCCAACAGTGTAAAGCTAGGGCTTCACCGGGCATCCTGCTGCAAATCCCTTGACACTGGCAGGCTACTGTGATTGTGATGTTCTAGTAATACTTTCTCCCTTCTCTTTGCATGAGGATGCAACCCAGTGGAGCCAAGTATCTCTGCAATAGTCCTCAGCCAGAGAATCCTACTCTGTTCCCAGGACAATCCTACCCTCTGTACTCCCACTAAAAAGAAAACTTATTTCAATGAAAATAAAATGTAGGCAGAAATGTGACATAAGCTTTAATTTTGATTCAATTTTCAGGAACTTGTGTAAAGGCACGTTTGGGGTTTGTCAACCATGAGACCTCACAGCAAACTATCCTGACTATCCACCCCACCTGTTTTGAGATAACCGTATCCTGGTGAACTTCAGTCTCTGCTTTCATTGCTGACAATGGGGAATATTATATCTGAATTCGGGCTACTGAGATTTGTCGGGAACTCTGAAGGTCACGGTGGACTGTTTGCTCCATTGCAGATTCAGTCAATGTAGCTTCTGATTGCTCTTCAGCAGACATTAGGTTCAATTTCAATTAGTGCTCCAGCTGAGGGGAGAGTTGTTTGTCAGAATTTAATTTCCTCACTAGCAGTTCACAGCCTCTGCTGTGAACGGAATGAACCACTGGAACAGAATGGGAATGCAAAGCTCCCCCCCCCACCACCACGACCAAGAAAACTCCAGCCCTTATGAACACTTATGCACTTAATGCCCTTATTGCTGAGCTGGGTGGACGACATGTAAGAGGCTACCTTTCCAAATGATGCTAGACCTGGAGGAAGAGAACATGATATATTTCAATGAAGATGTCATGAGGCTGAATATATCTTGTAAAGAGCTAATAGTATACTTGTATGTGGAAGAAATGGTTAATAGGAGCTATTTTTTTCCTAGATTGTAGCCATTATCCATTTATCTCAAGGGGTAAGATGAAATTGCCAAAGTACCTAATGGCTATCACTTCAATTCATTTTAATGTTTATGGGCTCTAAGCAATAGTTCTGATGCAAGAATGCATGTCTCCTGAGCATGTGTTGACCTCCAGTCAAACACCTAAGAGCATAGTTCTACTTTTTAAACCCACAATGTCGACCTACTGCAACTGAGGGCTGCAGCTGCATATTTACACGTTGTTCTAGTGATTGGTGTTAATATTTTTTTGTCTCAAACGGGATTTTTATGTTCTTTTTTAATTATAGATATTAAACATAGGCATTGTTTTGTACACATAGTAAATAATTAGTATTCAAGCAAATTCATATTCTATCTCACAGGTGTTACTAAGGTATGTGTGTGTGTTTGTGTATGTGTGTTTGTGTGTGTGGTTTGTGCTCTACACAGTGTATTTGTGTAACCATAGTATGTGATGATCGGAGTACAACTTTGTAGAAACAGTTCTCTCGTTACACGATCATGTAGATCACAGACATCAAACTCAGGTCACCAGGCTTGCCCAGCGAGTGCTATTACCTGATGAACTATCTTACGGACCCCCATCTGGAAGTTATTTAAAACTACCAGCACCAGTGTTAATGTTACATCTTATGAATTCTCCCACCCCAATGGAGTCTAGACCTTATAATAAGGGAAATGCCGAAGCATGCTAAAGTAAAAATTGGTCTCAGAAGGACTTTATTTTTAAGAAATGGAGCAAGTGTTTGTGGAAAGCCTACATTTCCAGCTCTAGAAAGAACAAGGCAGAGAGATCCTCTGCCTCCAGAGTGCTCACTGTCTGCAAGGCAGCTGATCAAACACTGTGAGTCTAGGGAACCTGCATCTCAAAAGATGTACAAACACTGATTTCCTCTGTAAGGGCAAATGAAGTCTTATTACGCACACCGTTCTCCAGATTCTGGTAAGGGATATTTTGACATCTGCATGTTACTATGGCCTGTACTTGGCTTTCTTGAGTTGCCTTCTGATACCAAGGGCTAGGTCAAGCACCATCTAACTCTCCAGCTCTCTCCAGCACACTCTGCAGTTGATGCAGGTTACTCCGCAAGACTCGAAGCAGTCTTGATTCCCTTTGCTGTTGTCAATGTTGCTTCCCTCCTGCCAAGGTTTTCCCATATTCCCTTCTCTGGCTTCTTTCCACTTGGATGACTAACAGGACCACTTTCTTGAAATTGAAGCCATCAATGGGTATAACTCATAAATATGTCTTAATAAGTATTTCTTTCAACTGAGTTGTAAACTTCAGATCTCTGCAAAAAAGTTCCTCCCTCTGAATGCTCTTCAAAAAAAAAAGTCCTCTAGAGGAATGGTTTCATGAGGATGTCTTTCCTAACAGTTTCATTAAGACACATTGATGGAGCTGGCTAGATGACTTACCTGATGCAAGAGTTTTCTGCTGGTTTGATCACCAGGACCTACATGGTAGAAGGGGAAAACCTAGGAATTGTCCACTGACCTTCAGATTTGTATATATGTAATTAGTTTTAAATGTACATATAAAGGAATGCGTAACACAGCAGCGGATGCCCCCAACTACTGTATTGCCAATTCCCACCATTACAAATACTGGATTCTGCAAGTGACTGTTGGTGGCCAGACATGGCAGTGCATGACTGTAACCCTTGCACTATGAAGAGGCAAGAGAACAGAAGCACATTCCAGGCTAGCCTCATCTTCAAAGCAGCCTAGGCCAGGCCTACCAGTGCTACTTTGCCAGATCCTGTCTCAAACCAAACCAAATAAAATCATATAAACTATTTGGTGCAAGACATCAATTTTCACATGACTAGAGCCCAAGATTCAATTTTTGCTTCCTCAATATTGAATTAAATTTCTCTGATTGATGAGCTGAAACATAACATCCCCTTGATGGAGCAAAGCCTAAGGTAGCTAACTGTTGATTGACAACTCTCTTCACAAGTACAAATTCCAGGAGTAAGACTCAAACTGTGAACCTGCAAGTCAGATAGTATGAAGCCAGAGGCCATCTTTCATCCATGATCCTTTTACAGTTTTAAGTCAAAGGTTTTAATTTTAGTTTTCTTAGACTTGTCCTTAGACTCGCCAGACTCATCAAAAAGAAAAAAAAAAAGAAAAAAAAACTTAACAAAGTTGGTGTCAGTAAGAGTTTCCCTTACCTACACCTGGGTTTTTCACCTTTTTAAAAAATTATTTTTGTGCATTGTATAAGAAGGTAGAGCAGAAATTCAGTTTTCTCAGTGTCAATTATTGAAGAGAGTATCCTTTTCCTTTGTGTCTTCTTGGTAGGTGCATACTTTCAAATAGATGTTCTGTTGTAAGTTAACATGGGCAACATAAAATCATGTTCATAAATCTTATGGAAAACACAAATTCCTTCTGCTAAATACAGTGACCACAAAGCAAAATTCTTCACCAATAGAAAGCTGTTGTTGTTTAGAAATCACATTCCATCCATCAAGAAAATTTAAAGTAAAAATTGCTTTGAGATTCTGTCTCACCCCAGGCAGAATGGCCAGCATCAAGAAAACAGCAAGTACTGGTGAGGAAATGGAGAAAGAAAACGGGTGGAGCCATTATGGAAATTCCTGTAGAAGTGCCTCAGAAAGCTAACGCTAGAATTACCA